AACAATAGCAACTGCAACACACTGTGCAAACTACGGTATGGTTTTCAATGGTATATTTGCAGCTATACCACAGACCACTTGAATTGAGTTTTTTTTTAAAAAAATTATTGGAAATTTTATTTACAACATAACATAAACCGCCACCCCACCCCAATACAGAAATCCACCCTCATTAAACGTGAACATAACATACAACAAGCATAACATACAACAATACAACCAACCAAATAAAAGACTTCCTTTATCCTGTATCTGGCCTCCTTATTTACTTCTTATAAACTGTTTCCTTTATGAATAATTATTAAGATTTTTCTAATTATAACTTAAATATCCACAAAGTCTCCTGCAGACATTAATCAAAACAAGTCCAGGTATGTATTTTAGGGCACTGTTTTGTGAAGTATTCTCTGCATTTTCCCCGTGCTTTTTGAAACTCTTGTCTAGTGTGATCTCTAATTGCCCCTGTTAATCTAACCAGTTCAATATACCCTAACAGTTTGTCTTGCCATTCCTTTTTTGTTGGCACAATTTCTTTTTTTCCAGTTTTTAGCAGTTAGGATCCTTGCCGCTCCTGTGGCATAGAAGAATATTTTCTGATCTTCTCTTGCTATACCTGCGTCCGTTATCCCTAGTAGAAAAGCTTCTGTATTTTTCATAAAGTTATACTTAAACATTTTTTTAAGCTCGTCATATACTGTGTTCCAGAAGCTTTTGGTTTTTTCTCAAGTCCACCAAACATGTACAGTGGTGTCTCGGGTTAAGTACTTAATTCGTTCCGGAGGTCCGTTCTTAACCTGAAACTGTTCTTAACCTGAAGCACCACTTTAGCTAATGGGGCCTCTTGCTGCTGCCGCGCTGCCGGAGCACGATTTCTGTTCTCATCCTGAAGCAAAGTTCTTAACCCGAGGTACTATTTCTGGGTTAGCAGAGTCTGTAACCTGAAGCATATGTAACCTGAAGCGTATGTAACCCGAGGTACCACTGTATAAGTGTCCCCTCTGTTTTACCACACCTCCAGCACAGATTTGTTTTTGTCTTACACATTTTAGCTATTTTGGTAGGACTTGAATTAAGTTTGTATACCACTGGTGGGAACCCTGATCTCGTCCAAAGAGGATTACACAACTTAATGGGGGATAAGCCTATCAACAGACACAGTGGCTATGTTCTACTTCCCCTGGTGATAGTATGCCTCTGAGTGCCAGTTACTGGAGATTCATGTTATAGGATAACCAGTCTCATATAACCAACATGCTGAAGTTAAATAATGCAGGATGAGGTGGTTAAAAGCATAGAGTAAGCTGTCCTGACTGGCTTAGCTCACCTTGGGGGGGACTAGGTAATCAAGGCTTTGTTCCCCCTGAGTCTACCAGAAAAGCTCAGCCTCGGTGAAGAGGCTAGGCTGGTTGCTGCAACTTATCCACATAGCTCTTACAAGCTATTCTTGTCTTCCTATACCCATAATTTAGGAACTTTCACCACTGTAACTAAGCCAAGTTTTACGGCCTGTGAAACTTTTTCTGACTGCTGTATGGAAAAGCACATGAATCTGACCTTTGGAGAGTTTGTAAGTAAATCATTTTTAACTTACCAAACGTGTGGTCTCTTTCTATGCTTACGCAAGTGGGGGATTTTGGAACTTAGTACGGTATATTTTAAAGATCTATATTTCTATGCTTTGCTTTACTGCATGTTTTGTGATTTTAAATCTCTGTGGGTTCCCTCACCAAAGAGTACTTGCACCCCAAATTTGGATCTTGGCATCCAGGAATTATCCTAGTTTTTTAAGCCTATTTTTTCCCCTTTGCAACTAACAATTCATTGCTATAGCATCCCCCAGAGATGGCCACTTAGCCTCTTCATAAACACTTCCAATGCAGGAACATCCATCACTTTCTGGGACAGCCAGTTCCAATGCTGCACAGCTCGTATAATCAGGTATCTTTTCTTAATCTTCCATCAAAATCCCCTGTCTTGTAATTTGAACCCATTGACTAAGATCCCAAACTAACTTGCTCCCTCATCTATGTGTCAGAACTTAAAAACAAAAACCTATCACCTCTTAACTGTCTCTTCTCCAAACACCCAACTCCATACTGAGAGCCCGTGTGGTGTAGTGGTTAAGAGTGGTAGTCTTGTAATCTGGGGAACCGGGTTCGCCTCCCTGCTCCTCCATATGCAGCTGCTGGGTGACCTTGGGCTAGTCACACTTCTCTGAAGTCTCTCAGCTCCACTCACCTCACAGAGTGTTTGTTGTGGGGGAGGAAGGGAAAGGAGAATGTGAGCCGCTTTGAGACTCCTTCGGGTAGTGATAAAGCGGGATATCAAATCCAAACTCTTCTTCTCCTTCAACCTTCCTCAGAGGACTTTGCCTGCTTACACACCAAACACTTAAAGCACCCCCCCAAAAAAAATTTAATTCTGAAGGCTTACCCCTCTCAGAGCTATAATTCCCAGCACCCTGAAACTATAGTTCCCATGTTTCTTTGGGGTGTGTGCATTAAATGTATGGTATGTATACATTTGGACTACTGACAGTCTTTTTCACCCTCCTCTGGATCTATTTCAGCTTGTCAACACCCTCCCTCAAACTCTTGGCGATGAGTGAGAGAAGGAATTGAGGGGAGCTTCCAGACCATCTCTTTACTGAGCATTCATTCTGATTTATGCACACAGAGATTAGACCAGGGGTAGGCAACCTAAGGCCCATGGGCCGGAAGTGGCGCACGGAGGCCATTTAACTGGCCCCCGAGCTGCCCCCAAACTGAGCCACCAGGGAATCTGGCTGCTAAAATGGCATCCGAGCAGAATTTTGCTGAATTGGCAAAATGTCCTGGAAAACCCAGATGTATGGCAAGTTAGGCGATGTTTTCAAAAAATGCATTGCATTTGAACGTCAGCAATCCTAAATTCCAAGATTTCTGAGTTTGGCTTTGGCGAGTCACAATATCCCACAATAGCCTACCTCAAAGAGTTGTTGGGATGTTAGAATGGCATTGTTGGGGAAAGGGCAAGACTCAGATGTAACAAATAATAACAGCTAAGAACTAGCCAGACATTTAGGACATCTAAGGCTACAGTCCTTACCTGGCAGTCAGTCTCAGTGCATTCAGTAGATATTATGTATTGAGTAAGCATGCAAGCAATGGAAGTACACAGATGCAAAGCTCAGCACATTTGGAAGAAAACCGTGTTGAAATCAGTGAGAGTTAGGCCTCATTCATACAACTGTTTATTCTGTTTCCCTGTTAATTACTATATCATCTTTGAGCCACTTTTGAAATCAAGTGAAATCTAGTGGATGTTTAGCGATCATGTAAGGGTTAACCTTAAGGAAATCAGCCCTGAGTGCTCACTGGAAGGACAGATCCTGAAGCTGAGGCTTCAATACTTTGGCCACCTCATGAGAAGAGAAGACTCCCTGGTAAAGACCCTGATGTTGGGAAAGATGGAGGGCACAAGGAGAAGGGGACGGCAGAGGACGAGACGGTTGGGCAGTGTTCTTGAAGCTACCAACATGAGTTTGACCAAACTGTGGGAGGCAGTGGAAGACAGGGGTGCCTGGCGTGCTCTGGTCCACGGGGTCATGAAGAGTCGGACACGACTAAATGACTAAACAACAACAACAAAGGGTTAACCGTGATCCCTTCCAATTCTACAATTCTATGGTTCTAATTTTTATTTTTGCAGTAAAGGATTACCGGTACTTTCCTTATCACAAGCTGAAGCAAACAACTGCTGAAAGTTAAAACCCCACAATTCCAAGGACAGATAATTGCGATTCAAAGCCTCCCACATTAGAACAGATTAGTTGCATTTTTAGAGTAATGTTCTTTGATGAGCTCAATTAGCCAACCAACACGTACAATATTCATCAGATAGATTATTATCTGTTTAATGGATAAGGAAGTGCATTCCTTATCCCAAAGGAATGCAAGCTCTGAAACATCAGAGCACTTACCGGTATATGGATACTTGTGAGTAAAGATTCACAAATGGTGCCTCCCATTTGATTCATGGGCAGAGTTGCAAACCTTCCTCATGCATGCAAGTGTCCACCAGAAGCAGCCTATAATAAATTCAGGCTGAAAAGAAGTTAACTTCGCCACCAGAATCCTTTGAACTCTGCCTTCTGCACTTGGCTCTGAATTTGTATAATTTCAGCCCATTTATTTCAATGGGAGAGATTTGGGCATCAATGAAACTTGAAACATGCTTCCTTTTGTCTGGATGGTGGCCTCTGACAGGTCTTGAAGGACCAAAAGAGTATCTGATCTTAACAGGGCAGGTGCCAGACATCAGAGGAACCCCCCCACACACACACCCCACCACAGTCTAGCCAAAGGTCCAGCTGAGGATGTTTCACCCCTCCCATTGCAAGAATCTGTTGACAATGTTTCAGAAAGGAGGGGGCAGATTTTGCTCATCGCTTCTTCCGCTCCAGCCTGACTTCAAAGGGAGTCTGAGTGTTATCTGTATATAGATAAGGTCGCTGCTCAAGTAGCTGTAACACTCATGCAGTCCAGCGTCTCCAATTAGTCTTTAGTTTATGCAGTAGCTGTAGAGAATAAAAGAACTTATACTTCAGAGCTGTCGTTCATGTGGTTCATGCTCTGCTGTGCTCCGCTGACTTTTGGAAGTGAGTTTGGTGCTCACAGCTCTGAGTTGTGAGTCCACAGCACTTAGACCTGCTCCCTGCAGTGGAAGGTCTCTGGGAGTGCTTTCCCAGCTCGCCTGGCCCAGTCGGGGCTGAAGAGGTTGAGCCCAGTCGTTGGCACTGGCTCAAAGGCGAAGCTGACACCAGCCACCACCAGGGATGTAAGACGGCAGCAAATTCTGCTGCAACCTATAATCATCGCAATCAGTGCTGTTTCTGTTCCGCTGCAGTTTGGTTTATTAGTATTATTAACTACAAGGTCCCAGGGCGGGATACAACAATTAAAATATAATATTTAAAACAACATACAAACACAGAAACAAGGAGGGTCCTAAAAACACACACCTCAGTAAGGATAGCTCAGTTGGCAGAGCACGACAGAGCATTAATCTCAGAGTTGTGGGTTCGAGCCCCACATTGGGCAAAAGATTCCTGCATTGCAGTGGGTTGAGCAAGATGACCTTTGGGTTCCCTCCCAGCTTTAGAATTCAGGTGTCAAAATTTAGGATGAAGAGCCGCATATTCAGCATTAGCCAAAAGCTGTACAATGAAGGTGCCAGGCACAACTTGGGGGCTCCCACAGAAGGGCATGTGACGCTCTTTGGCATGCGCTTTTAAACCTTGCTTCACCCTCATTCCCTATGAATGAATGAGACACCTCAATAAATATACAGCATTCAGGACAGAGGAGTGACAGGTCAGTATGTGTGAACCATGGCACACACACCCTTTCTCTGTCTTTACAATTTGATCACTAATCACAGTTGCAATAACTTAAAGGTAAAGGGACCCCTGACCATTAGGTCAAGTCGTGGCCGACTCTGGGGTTGTGGAGCTCATCTCGCTTTATTGGCCGAGGGAGCCGGCGTACAGCTTCTGGGTCATGTGGCCAGCATGACTAAGCCACTTCTGGCAAACCAGAGCAGCGCACGGAAACACCGTTTACCTTCCCGCCGGAGCGGTACCTATTTATCTACTTGCACTTTGACGTGCTTTCGAACTGCTAGGTTGGCAGGAGCAGGGACCGAGCAACGGGAGCTCACCCCGTTGCGGGGATTCGAACCACCGATCTTCTGATTGGCAAGTCCTAGGCTCTGTGGTTTAACCCACAGCGCCACCCTGCAATAACTTAGTGTTTGCCTTTGCCTTTTCGGTTTGTTTGATTTTTTACTTGCAAAATCCTGACCCACGAAACACCAAGACCAACCATAAAAATGTGCTAATAAAAGTATAGGAGTATAGTAAATAAGGAGTATAGCATCTAGATCAAGGGAAGTAATAGTGCCACTGTATTCTGCTCTGGTCAGACCTCACCTGGAGTACTGTGTCCAGTTCTGGGCACCACAGTTCAAGAAGGACACTGACAAACTGGAACGTGTCCAGAGGAGGGCAACCAAAATGGTCAAAGTCCTGGAAACGATGCCTTATGAGGAACAGCTAAGGGAGCTGGGCATGTTTAGCCTGGAGAAGAGGAGGTTAAGGGGTGATATGATAGCCATGTTCAAATATATAAAAGGATGTCATATAGAGGAGGGAGAAAGGTTGTTTTCTGCTGCTCCAGACAAGTGGACACGGAGCAATGGATCCAAACTACAAGAAAGAAGATTCCACCTAAACATTAGGAAGAACTTCCTCACAGTAAGAGCTGTTCGACAGTGGAATTTGCTGCCAAGGAGTGTGGTGGAGTCTCCTTCTTTGGAGGTCTTTAAGCAGAGGCTTGACAACCATATGTCAGGAGTGCTCTGATGGTGTTTCCTGCTTGGCAGGGGGTTGGACTCAATGGCCCTTGTGGTCTATTCCAACTCTATGATTCTATGATTCTAAAAGCTTCCTGGCTGATATTGAATGAGCCATGCAAAATAAAGCATTTGTTGGGAAATGTTAAATTAAGTCAAAGAAAAACAACTTTATATAACTGTGTAAATAATAGTTTAATTGTAAATCAGTACAATGGGTGTAGTTGGAAGTTCCTTTTCTTTGCTGATTCGCATATCAGATATAATTATGTTCTTTTTCTATTCACACTCTTATTTCTCTTTCTTTTTTCTTTCGTCTGTTCTTTTTTCTGTCTATACTCTTTACAATCTCTACAATCTAGTGAATGTTTGTATGTCGCTATTGTATGTATTTTAAGGTTTTTCTCGTTCAATAACAATTTATTTTTTAAAAAAATGTGCTAATGGCAGCTTTGGCATGTGGTGCACCTGTGGAATTAACTGTTCCTTTGAAGCATGAGCCATGATAGGTTCACCAGATGATTCAGTCTCCAGGGACTGACTGAAGCAATGGATAGGCATTGAGGATCCACTTATTGGCCTCACCAGAACAGGAAGTGCAAGGAAAGCAAAAATGTTTTCCTTCATGGGGACTTAAGAACTGCCACCTGGTGGCAAGAGCATCCTTTATGCATCTAGCTGGGATGAAGCCAGAGTAGACCACTGCTTTTCAACTAGTGGGTTCGTCACCTGATCCAAGGTGGGTTGCAACAGGAGCACTACCACCGTGCAAATTTGTGGTGAAAGGTTAAGAAATGGGTCCCCCAATGTATGTTTGCATTAAAAATGGTTCCTGGGTCTGTAAAGATACCTGGTGTAAACAATACTGACCCAGGTACAGTGGTACCTCGGGTTAAGTACTTAATTCGTTCTGGAGGTCCGTACTTAACCTGAAACTGTTCTTAACTTGAAGCACCACTTTAGCTAATGGGGCCTCCTGCTGCTGCTGCACCACCGGAGCACAATTTCTGAAGCAAAGTTCTTAACCCGAGGTACTATTTCTGGGTTAGCGGAGTCTGTAACCTGAAGCGTATGTAACCTGAAGCGTATGTAACCCGCAGTACCACTGTATTCTTCTCCTTCTCCTCTAATATTGGCCAATGACACTGCAAGCCAAACTTCCCAAATTCCCTATAATTCCCAAAAGAATTATAGGGACAGAACTGCATAAATTATGTAGAAATTTATTTATGTATGCGACTACAGCAGCGAAAATGCTGCTGGCCCAAAAATGGAAAGAAGCAGAAGTTTTTGGATACAAAAATTTACAGAATATGCAGAAATGGTGAAACTTACCGGAAGAATAAGAAATCAGGATGACAAACTTTTTATAAAAGAATGGAAATGGTTGATTGAATATTTAAAGATAAATTGCAAACAGATAAAAACATTGGCATTGTAATAACCTGCACTTTCATAAGAGTATATATTTAAAGTAGATAATTAAATGAGCAAATTAAATGAATTTGGATATGCAGAAGATATAAAAAATAAATTTATGGAACTGCAGAAAGAGGGGGAAAGAAGTCAAACTTCCAAATGTTAAAATGATTGTAAAATTAATGAAATGTATAAATTTGAAAAGTATATTTAAAAAAATTAAAAAGACAATGCAAGGCAAACGCGAGGTGTCCGGGGGTGGGGGGGTGAGGCTTCCTTCCTTCCCTAACTCTGCTTTAATCTACAGCAGGGTTGGGGAACCTTTTCTGCCCAGGAGTCTTCATCCTTTTCTTCCCTGTTCCTGCAGGGTCAAACTTGACAGGTGGGCAGTTTCTCTCTTTTCACCTGAGGGCTGCTGGGCTAATTTGGAAGAACTTGATCAAAAATCCAAACTTGCACACAGGCCTAAAAATCTTGCTGAGCCCTGTTAAAAGCAGATTCAAAGCCCTTGGGTATGTCAGGCTGCACCAGGAGCAAGCCTCCTGGACCAACGCAATAGGATTTACTCCTGAGTAGACATGTATAATAAGATTGCAGTGCCATTTACCAGCCCTACAGTTCCAAATCTTCTCCCTGACACAGTAGGCTATGGTTTTTAAATTTCGGATGAATTAATCAGCTGTCACGCTCTTTAACGATCATCGTCCTCAGGAGTTCACCTGACCTCCTCCTCTGCTTATTTATAGCTATCGGAACAAAACTTGGTCCCCCCCCCTTTAATCCCCGCTTTTAATAAATGGAATACATGGGGGCAATGTTTTATTGCTGCTACTTTACATTTTAAGGGTTTAGGATTTTAACCTATGGCATTTGATGTTTAATGTGTGGACACTGTAAAGGTAAAGGGACCCCTAACCTGCGTTGCGGTGCTCATCTCGCTATACTGGCTGAGGGAGCCAGCGTTTGTCCGCAGATAGCTTCCAGGTCATGTGGCCAGCAAGACTAAAACGCTTCTGGCGAAACCAGAGCAGCGCATGGAAATGCCGTTTACCTTCCCGCCGGAGCGGTACCTATTGATCTACTTGCACTGGCATGCTTTCGAACTGCTAGGTTGGAAGGAGCAGGGACCGGACAACGGGAGCTCACCCTGTCATGGGGATTTGAACCGCCAACTTTCTGATCGGCAAGCCCTGGGCTCTGTGGTTTAGACCACAGCACCACCGTTTAATTACTTTGTTCTGTTGTGTTTATGACCGCTGGCGGAGGAAGAAGAGTGGGGGGGGAGCGCACCGCCCCCAGCAGTGCGATCCCAGTGGGGTGCCATCGCGGCTCCCCACCACCACCATAGGTGGCGTGCCATGCCCCCAGGACGCGTGCCAGCCCCATCCCCGCTTGCTCTCCCCGCACACACACACACACCCCGCTGGAGCATGAAGCTCCACCACTGTTTATGATTTATAACCTGTTTTATGAATTATGTTTGGATTGAAAAAGGAAGGCGACCCCAAAATGTCACATCCCTACATTCGCATGTCAGGCGGTGGGGGGTGGCGGCGTTTGTTTCACTGTGCAATCCTATACATGCCTACTCAGAAGTAAGACCCCCTGAGTTAGATGCTACTTACCCTAAGGTAGTGAGGCTGGGATCGTAGCCTCCTACGCAGGCTTACCTGAGAGCGGATTCTATTGCGCTCACTTCTGAGCAGGCAAGGTGAGAACGGTGGCATTCTTAGCCCCTCCTCCGCGGTGCTGCGCTTAGAATCCGCTTTCTGCTTTCTTCGTTGCGGTTTGCCGTCGTTCTTGGTCCGGATCAAAGAATCACAAAGTTATCAGGGACCACGGGGGTCATCTAGTCCAACCCCCTGCAGTGCAGGAATCTTTTGCCCAACGTGGGGATGGAAGAATGAGAGCTGCGTCGAGGCCCCTGGATGAAAAGAGCAGACGCTGATTCCTTAGAAGGCTCGAGGGAGCTGGGGGTTTTTTTGGGGGGGGCAACCCTTACTTGTTCCTCTGCCACGGGGAGGAATATTTCGGCAGGCGGGGAGGTTCTGCTCCCTATATCCTGTATGACGTCAAAGCCCCCCCCAAGAGTTCTTCGTGATGTCACGACGTGAAGGGGGAATCCCTAGACGAGAGCCCCCTTCCCAGCGTGTGATGTCACTCGGCCATGGGAATGCTAGGGGAAGACCCCCTTCTCCCTCCCGCTCCTGATAGGGAGGAATCCCCCAACCCCGCTCCTCATTACGCGCTTGTGACGTCACGGGAGGGCGTGGGGATTCCGGAGGGAGTCCCTCCTCTCCGCAGGGCGGTTCCTCCAGGCGGCGGGAGAAGCGCAATTTGCCCGCCATGGCTGCTCTTCAGCTGCTGCTGATGGTCCCGGCGCTGGGCAGCTTCCTGTTCACCTTCGGGACCGGCGTGGAGCTGATCCGCTTCGTCTCCTTCCGCGCTCTGTTCCTGCAGCCGGGGACGGGGGCTGCCCAGCACAGAACCGGTGCGGGGGCGTAGGGGCGGGAGAGAAATGGAGGGGCCTTGCGGGGGAGGGAATGAGAGCTTGGGGTTGCAAAGGGGTGCGAGGTGCGCGGTCTTTGGGCGGAGGAGCAGGGATCCGGCGGCCCCCCAGGTGTGGGGCTCTGTATCGGGTCCAGGGCAGCATGGGCAGTGCTGAGGGATGACGGGAGTTGTAGTTCAGCAGCATGCCAAGAGGTATGAAAAATTGCCCGTTCATCCCTTCCTTTTATTTTTGGTTTGGATCCTGAAGACGCCCAGGCGAGTGGCAGGAGGCTGAAACTCTAAAGCAGCCACTTTGAAACTGAGAAAGTCAAATGATAGGAATTCCTAGATCTTAGATAAGATGCTTTTAACACTGTGATTTTATGTTGCAATGGTTCCTGTTGGAAGTTTGCGTCTTGCCCTGGGCGTTTTCCAACAAGCAGAAATAAATGTGGCGCCTTGTTGTGAAAGGCAGGCAGGGCTAAGGATGTGGTCTGGCTCCCCTCCACCCCACCCCCACCCCCCGCCGATGCTATTAGTATGTGAACAATATGGTTTGGTAATAATATCCCATGATGTCGTTAAAGATGATTGGATAAAAATGTCTGTATGTTCTACTTCCTGCTCTGTATGTTAAGGCCATTCAATCCAGAATCTTCCCAATAGTTTAAGAGAGCCTTCCCCAACCTGCTATCATCCATAAGTTTTAAAGTACAACTCTCACCATCCCTGCTGGCTGGGACTGATGGGTGTTGGAGTCCAACATCTCATAAATAACAGGATCTGAGATTACAGAATTATAGAGTTGGAAGGGACCCTGAGGATCATTTGGTCCAATCCCCCTGCAATGCAATATGCAGCTGTCCCTTACAGGGATTGAACCGGCAACCTTAGCACCATCGGCACCACACTCTAACCAACTGAGCTATCCAGAGAACACCAGCTTGTGGAAGGATTGTTTTAAGATGATGAGAGAGAGAAGGAGAGAGAGAACAATTTGTCTCTGGGATCAATTTCTGGGCTACTATCTGAGATCCTCTGCCAGCCCCTGCTGGATGCACTAGGCCTCACCTTGAGCAAACCTCTTTTCTTTGCAGATGCTGCTCATCTTCAATGGGGAGCTGCCCTGAGGGATCCCAAGATTCTGCGGCCACTAATGGTGGATGTGGGCTTAATTGTCCTCTTCATCCTGCAACACAGCCTCATGGCCACTCAGCAAGTCAAACACTGGACCAGAAGTTGCTTTGGAGTTCTACAGAGATCTTTCTATGTCTTCTGCACAGCGTTGACTCTCCAGGTAGGCGTATCAATTTGGGGCACCAAAATGGGGGGAGAGGACTGAAGGGGAGGAAGAAGTCCCACAGGCAAGATAACAGAGCAAATCAGAGTGAATTCTTGCCCAAGTCAGAAAAGCTAAGCTCAGAATGCAGAATAAATCTTCCTGGCATGATGCCGTTTAGATTTCATACTCTGCACTTTCATGGAAGCAATATTTCCAAAGCAAATCCCCCAATTTCAGCATTAAGTCTTTGCTCCTTGGTACAAATTATTTTGATAACGGACCTCCCAAACTCACACCGTTAACTCAGCATAGCCTTCATTATGGTGCGAAGCAAAATGCATCATTGTAATGAACACTAGAATCTTGCACAATTTAAAAACAACAACAACCCAGTATGGATATGATTTGTATGATTTGGCTAATGTCTACATGTCCAGCGGATTTTCTACAATGTGATTGCAGTTTTGGAGTCCCAAAATGCAGCCATATTAGATGTGTGCCTGCAGGAGAATCCACTTTTATCTAATGTGCCTTTTCCTTCCCACCTAGCTGCTGATGAGGTACTGGCAGCCTGTGCAGGATGCTCCTGTGCTCTGGAATACGAGCAGGGAGCCGTGGGTCACTTGGGTCCCTCTCATCTGCTTCATCCTCCACTTCATTGCTTGGCTGGTCATCTTTAGCATCCTCCTCATCTTTGACTACGCAGAGCTGATGGGGGTCAAACAGGTACCGCGCAGCTTCCCTTTTCCCATCTAGAGAGGCCACCGTCCTGTATTTGGCGGCTGAGCTCAGCGAGGCCCAATTAACCAGCCAATGAGGGTGATAGAAGATATTTCCTCCTGCTGTAAAATATTTCTAAAAAGAAAGGCCCCAGGTTTGAAGGAAATTTGGAAGCCATGACCTCTCTCTTGGAAGCTCTTAATGTGCTCTGGCTTTACAGTGATAGCAGTTGGGGGGGTGCATTGGATTTGTATGAATTCTGAGGGATTTATTTATTTATTTTAAAAAATTTGATTTTAAAACTATAAGATACAATACAACCACACACATCCACATTTGGAGATTCCTCAGAATCTCTGGACTTCCCACCTTCCCCTCCGTGGGTCCTATTATTAAACCTTTTCTACTGCATCTCTTTCAATAGTCCATATTTTATATAGGTCCATAGTACTTGCTACAAGTGTTATTGCAATCCTGCTAATGTTTTCATCTGTTTACAGTGGTCTCCAAGATAAATTATAAATTTCCCCCATCCTTTCTTAAAGTTATGGTCTTCTTGGTTCCTGAGCATAACGGTCAGTTTTGCCATTTCGGCATAGTCCAGCAGTTTAATTTGCCATTCCTCTCTGGTAGGGACATTCTCTTCTTTCCATCACTGGAATTCTGAGGGATTTTTGGTCAAGGCAGAGACCGCAGAAGCACTTAGTGTTGTCTCAGCAGTCCAGACAGACAACAAAACAAAAACCGATCTCACATTCCCCCTCAGTGAATATGTAGAGGCCCAATGTGTACACAAGTCTAAAATGGTGTCTTGTTTCCCCAAAAGATTTGTGCATCTGCGGTGCAAATGGGTGTTTCTCTCGTTCTGTAGGTTTACTACCACTGCCTGGGCATGGGGGACCCTTTGGCCGTGAAGTCCACAAGTGCCATCCGCCTCTTCTCCCACCTGCGTCACCCCGTGTACCTGGAGTTTCTCCTCATCCTGTGGGCTGTTCCCTGCCTTTCTCTTGACCGCCTGCTCCTCGCATTGCTCTTCACAGCCTACATCACCTGCGCCCACAACCTTGACCAGCAAGACTACCTCTACCTGCGAGCTCAGCTGGACAAGAAGTTCCAGATCTTCTCCCGTGAGGAGGCAGCCTATGGGGATCTGCTGGCTCAGAATGGCCCCTCCGTCCTTAAGAACTGAACCGGTGTGGCCCCAATTTTATATGCGGGTGCTGGTGTCCTAGTATATTGGGGCCTGAGAGCCTGGTACCTTGCACTCTCCCATGCTAAGCACTGAACGATGCAATGTGCCTTGTATATCCTTTTGCTTTTATGCACTCGGGATTTGAGTGGTCTATAAATGGGACCCAAGAGTTCTGGCTTCCAGCAGGCCTACTTTGCTACAACTCTTAAAACACATATAAGGAGTTCTATATGGTGACGCCAGGTTGAGCGACATGGCCCAGTAGGTTGGAATCCTTGAGGAAAGAGGTGGAACTCCAAAGATGGCAGAATTCAACCCCAAGTTCCTTGGAGGGAAGTCTCTAGAGCAGGGGTGGGGAAAGCCTATGGCCCTCCAGAAGTTGGTGGACTTCAGCTGCCATCAACATCTGGAGGGCTGTGGATGCCCCATACCTGCTGTATAGGCTTAAAGGGATATATTGGGCCCAAAAAGAGTCCCCCCCCCCCACTAGTGCTAAGAAGAACAATGAGTCACTGATAACCGACTGGAATTTAGGTGAGGTGGTCAGGTTGTTGTTGTTTGTGGGAGGCTTTTTTAGGATTTACAACTGCAGACAGCAGGCAGGTAGGTCAACAGACAAAATGTTCCCCATCTCTGGCAAAGCTGGGCCCAGTGGAATCAGTGGGGCACTGCCCTAGTAACCTCAGTCTGCCCCCAGCCATCCCCCACCTGCTAGCTGGCTTTACTTACAACCAGTCAGGGGGTGGCTTTGTCTGTCATGGACTCTGCTGGTGGCCTTCCTGCCCTAGAGGGCACCAGGCAAACCTGACTGGGATTCTGCAGCTGTTAAAAAGCAAAGAAGATGCCTCAGTTGAAATTCATTATAATAACAAAGCATTAGAACTGGGTTTTTCAATTCATTTTCTGCTACAGAACTTCTGCCCAAGTGATTTTTAAAGTATAGGATTTTTAACTTTGATTCACAAGCAAGAACTATTTTAAAGAGGTAGCAGCCTAGATAATTTGTGGAGTGGGCTGTGAAGTTTTTTTGCTTTTTGCAAATATACCTCTTCAGCACAGTGTCTTCCAAATACATTTCTGTTCCAAGAAAGCCATCAGAATTCATTGCCCATCCTCTTGCTTCTGTCGCGTCAATTCAGTTCCAAAGCATTCTTAATTCCAAGGCCTACCTGGCCTGAAGAAGACAAGGCCTTGAGGAAGATTCTGGTCAAGATGGCCGTCCAGCAGTGGACCACCTGCCTCTCAAACCCAAATATATCTCCATGCGGTGGGTGACTTTTAACTCGCCCCGCCCATCAGAATTAATGACAAAAACTATAATTTATGTGATCTTTGAATCAAGTACATTTACAGGCAAAAGCGGGCTGGGGGGGCAGGGGTTGATTCCAGGATTATGTCTCCAGGCTCCACCTAGCAATGGTTGGATCTTTGCCTTCATTTGTAACTCAATGCCTTGAACATCCACTAGCATTTCTTTTTAAATGCTGATACTGCTTTTATTGTAGCTTTTTTATTATTATTTCTGTACCCCCTTGCTAACAAAGTATTTTTATACATATGAAAAGCAAATCTTGGATTGAGAAGATAATGGTTTGTAAAGTAAAAAAACGGATGTGTGTTTTTAAAAAAAGTTTGGTTTGTCTCTGTTCTGAAATTTGGTTTTAATGTAAAGTGTTTCAATATATTTGGTTTTGTTTATAAAGCAGAAGTGACCAGCTGCTCCCGGAAGCTAAAAATGAGCTCTGTATCAACAAAAGTTTTACCTATACAGTGGTACCTCGGGTTACATACGCTTCAGGTTACACACTCCGCTAACCCAGAAATAGTGCTTCAGGTTAAGAACTTTGCTTCAGGATAAGAACAGAAATCGTGCTCCGGCGGCGCAGCAGGAGGCCCCATTAGCTAAAGTGGTGCTTCAGGTTAAGAACAGTTTCAGGTTAAGAACGGACCTCTGGAACGAATTAAGTACTTAACCTGAGGTACCACTGTAATTATTCATGATGACAAGTTGTAAGAATCATGAGATTTTCCACCCCTGAGCTTTTGAAATACAACTCCCATCAACCTTGGCCGTATGGGCTGAAGCTTATAAGCGTTGTTGCCCAACATGTGAGCAACCCCATGTTGGAGATCCCTGCTCTATACATTTATTTATTTTTTTGTTTAATTTCTATACCCTTTATATTTTTAAGAAAAACCTCAAAGTGGGTTAAAGCATATTAAATCAATAAAACATAAATAAAACAATGTGAAAAAAGTGAAATATAGAGTATACTGTCAAAGCAACATAACAGAAAACTAAAACATTATCTTAAAGATTTCAAAATAAAACATTACAAAGGAAGTCAACTACAGAATACAAATTTAACATAGTAGGGCTGGGTGAGTCTGGGTCCCGCCCCCAAGGCCAGGTGGGAAAGGCCTTGCAGGGAGTGGCCTTCATGCCTCTCAGCCGGGCGATGTTCCTCCGGCCTCATGAGAATCCTCTCTAATGGGACCCAAGTGTGTTTAGGGTTGCAATTAACTTAATCTTCCCTAGATCTGCTTTTAGCAGAAGCATGTGCCACTCCCACTGCCCAGCTTCAAAGTCAGAGTAGCAACCACATGTATCCTATAGTCACGTTTAGCTCTTTCTGTTTGGCATCGCTAAGGCTCTCCTCCCCCCGCCCCCCTCACGAAACAACGGCCTCCTTTTAAGCACCCCAACAGTTATTTACCGCCCCCCCCATTCCTCTCACGGCACATGTGTGATACACACGCTTCACCCTAATGGCTCCTGAAGCATCTGAGGCTACGAGACGAAGGAACGCTCTCCTGCTAAATGCACACTCACTGATTACAGTCGCGTCCTTGAGAGAAACAAGAACTAGCCTTGCACATAAAAAGAAGCATCCCTTCTACTTCTCTTCCCTTCTCCCCTCGCCCCCACCCAAGGGCCAGGCCCATGCTTGCTCCCCTAAACCAAAACCTAACCAGGGACCCAGCTGAGGAGAACTGCAGTGAGGCGCATTCGTGGGAGCCTCCCCCTGAATCTTCCCAGGAGCAGGAGGACTGTATAGATTTGGAACAGTGGTTTGCAGAGGAACATAGTTCATAATAATAATAATAATAATAATTTTTATTTATACCCTGCCCTCCCTAGCCAAGCTCCACGTGGCTGACAAGCAATAATAAAAACAAGTTGAATGACTACAACTTAAAAACAAGATTAAAATACAACATTAAAATATTGAAACATTAAGATATTAAAACGCACCCTCATCACAGGAGAAAAGAAAAGAAAGAGGGGGAGGGTATCAAATTGGCTCCAAGCCAAAGGCCAGGCAGAACAACTCTGTCTTACAGCCCCTGCGGAAAGAAATCAGATCCTGCAGGGCCCTGGTCTTATGAGACAGAGCTTTCCACCAGGCCAGAGCCAGTGTTGAAAAGGCCCTGGCTCTGGTTGAAGCTAATCTAACTTCCTTAAGGCCCAGGACCACTAGGGTGTTGCTATTTATGGACCTTAAGGTCCTCCGTGGGGCATACCGGGAGAGGCGGTCCCATAGGTACAAGGTGGGTACAAAGGTCCTAGCCTGTGAAGGGCTTTAAAGGTCAAAAGCAGCACCTTAAATCTGACCCTGTACTCCACCGGGAGCCAGTGCAGCTGGAAAAGCACTGAGTGAATATGTTCCCATGGCAGAGACCCCATGAGGAGCCTCACTGTAGCATTCTGCACCCGCTGGAGTTTCTGGGACAGCTTCAAGGGCAGCCCCACATAGAGCGAATTACAGTAGTCAAGCCTGGAGGTGACCGTTGCATGGATCACTGTGGCCAGGTTGGGGCGGGAAAGGTAAGGGGCCAACTGCTTGATGCGGCGAAGGTGGAAAAATGTTGCCTTGGCTGTTGCTGTAACCTGCACCTCCATGGAAACTCTTAACGGAAGGCAATGGCACTAATTGGGCCCCCTCAAGAGAAGGGAGTTGGTCCCTCATTCCCATGCCATCCCTATCCAGCCATAGGACCTCTGTCTTCGAAGGATTTAGTGTCAATTGGCTCCCATGAAACCATCCAGCCACAGCTTCCAAGCATCTGGTCAGTGTGTCCGGGGCCAAGTCGGTGTGGCCATCCATCAGCAGATAGAGCTGAGTGTCATCAGCATATTGGTGACAGCCCAGCCCAAAGCTCCGGATAATCTGGGCAAGGGGGTGCATAAAGATGTTAAGAAGCATTGGGGCGAGGATTGCGCCCTGCGGCACTCCACACACCAAGGAGTCGTGTGACGACATCTCCCTCCCTAGCGCCACCCTATGTCCCCGACCAGAGATAAAGGAGCACAGCCATTTACGGGCTATGCCCTGTATCCCCATGTCAGCAAGGCGGTGGTCCAGAAGATCATGATCGACCATGTCAAAGGCTGCTGACAAATCTAAAAGAATCAGCAGTCCTGACCCGCCTCGATACAATTGTCTATGGAGATCATCTGTTAGGGCAACCAGAGCAGTCTCGGTCCCGAAACCAGGACGGAACCCAGACTGAAATGGATCTAAAGCAGACGTTTCCTCCAGAAACCTACCAAGCTGTTCAGCAACCGCTCTCTCAATTACCTTACCCAGATATGGAAGATTTTAAACTGGGCGGTAATTGGATAGGTCTAAAGGATCTAGTGACGTTTTCTTTTCTTTTCTTTTATAAAATATTTATTAAAGTTTAAACATTACAAAAAAGAAAAGAAAAACAAGAAAGAAATATACAAAACATCAACAATACCAAAAGAAGAAAAGAAAAGAAAACATTAAAAAAACCCAAAAGAGAACAAACAAACATACAAAAGACCCCCATATTTTCATATCCTTATCTTTCATTAGCTTATTTCCTCGACTTCCTCACACCTCCTTTTTTGTATTCTAGTTCAATTAAATATTCTAGCAAGTCCTTTCCCTCTTTCACAAATTTAGTTCCATAATTTAATTTAACGAAATTTTAAACTTTAATTTACATCTTTACCCAATGTCAGCTATTCATACTTAATTCTTTATAATATTTCTACTAAAGTCATATAACTTCTTTCCAGCATCTTTCTAACATTCATTAATTTTAGAATATTTCTGTAAATAAGCTTTAAATTTTTTCCAATCTTCTTCCACCGACGCTGCTCCCTGGTCTCGGATTCTGCCAGTCATTTCCGCCAATTCCATGTAATCCATCAGCTTCATCTGCCATTCTTCCCTGGTAGGTAGGTCTTGTGTCTTCCAGTGCTTTGCGATGAATATTCTTGCTGCCGTTGTAGCATACATGAAAAAAACTCTATCCTTCTTTGGCACCAATTGGCCCACCATGCCCAGGAGAAAGGCCTCTGGTTTATTCAGGAAGGTATATTTGAATACCTTTTTCATTTCATTATAGATCATCTCCCAGAATGCCTTAATCTTTGGGCATGTCCACCAAAGGTGAAAGAAAGTGCCTTCAGTTTCATTGCATTTCCAACATTTATTATCGGGCAAATGATAGATTTTTGCAAGCTTGACTGGTGTTATGTACCACCTGTAAATCATTTTCATTAAATTCTCTTTTAAGGTATTACATGCCGTAAACTTCATACCAGTGGTCCATAACTGTTCCCAGTCAGCCATCATAATGTTATGTCCAACATCCTGTGCCCATTTAATCATAGCAGATTTCACCATTTCATCCCTGAGTATTCCATTTCAGTAGCAAGTTATACATTCTTGACAAATTCTTAACTTTAGGGTCTAACAATTCTGTTTCCAACTTTGATTTTTCCACTTGAAAACCTAATTTTTTGTCCTGATTGTATGCCTCCATTATTTGGTAATAATGGAGCCAATCTCGCACTCTGTTTTTTAATTTTTCAAAGCTCTGTAATTTTTTAGTGACGTTTTCTTTAAGAGCGGACACACTACTGCTTCCTTCAGTTCCCCTGGGAATGTCTCCGTGCCAAGGGACAAATTGATAATTTCAACCAGGGGGTCCACGCGACATCTGGACATGCCCTAATCAGCCAAGATGGGCACGGATCGAGGAGGCAGGTGGTGGGCCTACCAGCTTGGAGGAATCTATCCACATCAGCAGGGAGTATCCGATCGAAATGGTCCAACACTGGACCCGAAGACAGTCGAGGGGCCTCCTGTTCAGTCAATGTATCTCAATTGGCAGGGAGGTCACGGAAGAGCAACAGGACTTTCTCCACAAAAAAGCTCGCGAATGCCTCACAGCTATGGGTTGAATTTGTGCTTAAATTTGGTTGTCCTCCTAAGGACGTTATCAACCTAATTATTCTAAAAGGTTGTGCCAGGCGAGAGCTAGCAGATGCAATGGAAACTGCGAAGTAAGATTTCTTAGCAGCTTTCACAGCCATCTCATAGGCTTTCATAAGTGTCCTATAAGATGTTCCGTCACGAGTCCATCGCCATACTTGCTCTAGCCGTCTCAGATCCCGCTTCATTTTCTGGAGCTCTTCAGTAAACCAAGGGGCCCGGTTTCGATGGGGTCGCAGAGGGTGCTTAGACGACCTCATCGATGGCTGCCAATAGCCGGTTATTCCAGTCCTCGACAAGGTCATCTAATGAGTCGCCAGGAGGAGCAGGGTCCCGCAAGGCCTGATGGAATCTATCAGGATCCATCAGCCTTCATGGGCAAGCCCAAATAGGCTCGCCACCCGAGCAGGGGAGGAGCGGGAAGTCAATCAGAAGGCAAAAGCTGGGAAATACTGGATGGGGAACAGCTTGGAGAATAAACTCGGGGGGGGGAGAGAGATAACAGATTCACTGTCTCTGGAAAGCATCCATCCGCTTTCCCCAAGGTCAAGGAGAGTTGCAAAAGTGGCAGGACAAAACGCACAGTGGGTACAGGCTCAGGTTAGGAGACGCAGAAGTGACGGGGGTGACTAGGGATGTGAGGGGGTGGACCTCTTCATTGGGAGCACCGCCATTCCTAGAAGACGGGTTCTTTGTTCTCTCGCTGGGATCATTAAAGTTTCTAACGGGTAAGACTTCCCTTTGTTCTGCTTATCTACGGCCAAGGGGGAAGGAAGCCAATTCCCTGAAGCCTGACAGATGCTGATCCACAAGACAAGGGCAGCCCATCACTTTGGCATTGAAGGCCGGAGGTCAAAACTCAACAGATTCATCACACACCTTGAACATTCCAGATTCACACTCTTCCCCTTTTTATCTAGCAACAACTAGCAAGTTATTTTGTACATTTACTATATGTGACTTGTCAGCATCGCCCTTGAGCCACCAACTGGACTCATCCACTTCAGCCCCGACTGGGCTAGGCGAGCTGGGTAGCACTTCCAGAGACCACCTTCTATACAGGAACAGGTCAATGTGCTGTGGACTCACAGCTTAGAGTTGTGAGCACCGGATTCACTCCAACAAGAAGACAGTTGTCGCACAGCAGAGTATAGCAGAGCATAAACAACTCGGAGAGCAGCTCTGTAGAATATCTTCTTTATTCTATCTACAACTATAATACACAACTATATGCAGAGCTAAATGAGGTCTAAATGAAAAATGCTGAACTGCACTGAGTGTCTGCAGCTGCTCTTAGCAGGAACCTTATCTCGCTCTCTCTAAAACTCAGTCTCTCTCTCTTTGATGTGAGGTTGGAGCGAAATAAGTAGAGAGCAGAAACCGCCCCTCCTCTCTAGAGAATCAGCAGAGAACATCAGCAGATTCTTGGATATGGGAGGGGTGAAATCTCCTCATTACTTTAACACATATATGTGTGTATACAAATTTCAATACAAACACCAGAACATCACACAGGTTCCATGCATTTAAAATTGATTTCTGCCTTTATGAGTTTCTTGATATGAAGCAAAGAGTGAAAACTGAGTGGAACACTGCATACATTTATATGGCTTTTCATCTGTGTGAATTTGCTTATGAATATTAAGGTCTCCACTGCATCTGCAGCTCTTTCCACATTCCCTACATCTGTGGTTTCCCCCCTATGTGAGTTAGCTGATGTTTCCTAAGGTGTCTACTTTGACTGAAGTTCTTTCCACACTCCCTACATTTAAACAATTTCCCCCCTATGTGAGTTTGTTGATGTATTCTAAGTGTTCTACTACGACTGAAGCTCTTTCCACATTCAATGCATTTAAATGGTTTCTCCCCTGTGTGAGTTCGTTGATGTATTCTAAGGTCTCCACTATCACTGAAGCTCTTTCCACATTCAATGCATTTAAATGGTTTATCCCCTGTGTGAGTTCGTTGATGTCTTCTAAGGTTTCCACTACGACTGAAGCTCTTTCCACATTCAATACATTTAAATGGTTTCTCCCCCATGTGAGTTTGTTGATGCATTCTAAGGTCTCCACTTTGACTGAAGTTCTTTCCACATTCAATGCAACTAAATGGTTTCTCCGTGTGAGTTTGTTGATGTCTTCTAAGGTGACCACTACGCCTGAAGCCCCTTCCACATTCTATACAGTTAAATGGTTTCTCCCCTGTGTGAGTTCGTTGATGTCTTCTAAGTGTTCCACTACGACTGAAGCTCTTTCCACATTCAATGCATGTAAATTGTTTCTCCCCTGTGTGAGTTCGTTGATGTATTCTAAGGTGACCACTTTGACTGAAGCTCTTTCCACATTCAATACATTTGAATGGTTTCTCCCCTGTGTGAGTACGTTGATGGCTTCTAAGGGCTCCACGATGACTGAAGCGCTTTCCACATTCAATACATTTAAATGGTTTCTCCCCCGTGTGAGTTTGTTGATGTATTCTAAGGTTTCCACTTTGACTGCAGCTCTTTCCACATTCAATACATGTAAATGGTTTCTCCCCTGTGTGAGTACGTTGATGGCTTCTAAGGGCTCCACGATGACTGAAGCGCTTTCCACATTCAATACATTTAAATGGTTTCTGCCCCGTGTGAGTTTGTTGATGTATTCTAAGTGTTCCACTACGACTGAAGCTCTTTCCACATTCAATACATTTAAATGGTTTCTGCCCTGTGTGAGTTCGTTGATGTATTCTAAGGTGACTACTTTGACTGAAGCTCTTTCCACATTCAATACATTTGAATGGTTTCTCCCCTGTGTGAGTTCGTTGATGTATTCTAAGGTTTCCACTTTGACTGAAGTTTTTTCCACATTCAATACATTTGAATGGTTTCTCCCCCGTGTGAGTTCGTTGATGTATTCTAAATGTTCCACTTTTATGGAAGCTCTTTCCGCACTCCATGCATTCAAATGGTTTCTCCCCCATGTGAGTTCCTTGGTGTATCCTCATTCTTCCACAGTGACTAAAGCACATTCCACATTCCCTGCATTTAAACTGTTTCTTTGTTCTTCCCAATGAATTCACAGATGGCTCCGTAGAATTCTGACCATCGTCTTCCTCACCTGTTTGGGAGGGGGGGGGAGAGAATCCTGTTAGACTTTTAAAAAAGACAAGAAAGGAACTGAACACATGTGAAGTCCCATGTGCACCTTCTCTTATTTTCATTCCATTGTCCACTGTCTCCAAGTTCCAAATTTTTAGGAATAAAGATGAGATAATGGCAAGAGCAACCCATGATCATGTCGGAAATCAAGCCTTTATCAGGAGAAACTGTCAACACTCCCAGGCACCCAGCTTGGTCTCCTGTTGACCTCCCTGTCTGCATTCCTCAGCAAGATCCAGGCAGAGGTCGCGATAGGCGATCCTTCTCAGCGTGAGAAGAACACCCCCCCTTTGTTGCCCCCCCGGCAGGGGAAAGAGATAGACAGAAACGTATTTACATGCCTTTATTTCTGTCTTTGCAGCGTTACAAAAAACATGACTGCTCTCTTCAAACTCCAGCAGTCGAGAGACAAACACTTCCTGTACAGCTCATATTACACTCTGAGCTAATTCCGGTGCCCTCTGTTTCCCACGGACAGTCCCAACATCATGTGATGTTTTCAAGCTAGCAGCTCGCAGCTGCATTGCTTCTATATCGTAACAGATCACTCCATTCACATTTAAGAAAGCACCATCATTTTATAATAGATATCTACAGTGGAACTGGCTTATAAGACTGGCTTATAAGACACATCTGTCTTTTTCTTTTTCAAGTGAGGAAAGGATCTCAGGCTCCAACAGCAGTCTCTCCTATGAGTAAGAAGTAAAACTGAAATGTTCTTATGCCACATGTAAGTGTAAAAATATTGCAATATATTAGACCCTAAACAGAGCCTACTGGATTGGGAAAAGGCCCACCTAGTCCAGCATCCTGTTCTCACAGTGGCCAAGCAGAAGCCTGTGGGAAACCAGCAAGCAAGATTTCAGCCCAAGAGCCCCCTGCCCTCCTGTGCTTTCCAGAAACTAGTATTAAGAAGCATTATTGCCTAGGACTGTGAGGGCAGAGCACAGACATCAGTCTAATCATTTTTTTCAAGCTACCCTAGTTGCTGGCAGTCACTGTCTCCTGTGCTTCTGTTTATTCATCTTTTGCAGGCCTAAAAGGCTCATAAAGGTATTATGACCTAAGTTTTTGTGGGCTGCAGTCTGACAAAGGGAACTCTTGATTAGGAAAGCTGGTGCCACTATAAATCTGTGAGTCTCTTTGTTGGTTTTGTGCACTTATTTTGAAATTTGTACCAAGGTTGTACCATTTAGCTCCATGTAAGCTTATGGAGGGACAGAATTACAGGGGCGCTATAAATTATTATCCCACTCACTCACAATCCGTTTGTAAGAATGGCAAGTTTACACTATTTGGTTATAATACTGGCCACCCTCGGTCTTCATATGCCCAATCCTATGTGCAGAGCCTCCAGCCACATGAACTGTGTATCATGATAACAGGTCCTTTGTCTCCAAAGCCCACGAAACTGGGGAGGTGCATGCATCTACTGTATTTTGATGCTGGTGGAATGTATCACTCTGACCCAGTCTTTAAAAAAAAAAAGTAACATAAACTATTTAAATATATGAAATATAATTAATGACAGGAAGCATTTCCATAGCCCCCTTCACCCATTTTTCTGGATTGGTGTACAACATCATTATCGTCACTTAATCCTGCACTGGAAATAACACCAGAGATTCCAAAAACAAAGAGCTGCTTTGGAGAAGGCCTCACCCCTCCCTCCCTCCCTCCCTCCCTCCCTTCCTTCTTCCTGCCTGGCCCTTCCTGCCTTTGGTCTCCTCTCCATCTTTTCCTCTTTCTCCCTCCACCATCCAGCCATCCATGTCCCCATCTCCTCTCCCCTGAAACTCACCAGATTTCTCCGAGGGTCCCGGGAGGGGATGCTCAGAGGTCGTAGGGAGGGATGCAGGAGACAGCTTGACCAGGTCAACTGTCCATCTTCCTCCGTCCATCCTGACCAGGTTTGCAGGTTCAACTTCTTCAGGAGCACAGAAGTCAGGGCAAGTTGTAGCTTCCTGGGAGGAAGGAAGAAGCCAAGGGAGTTTCAGAGCCCCTGCAGGGATTCTGCCCAAAACATTCTGCTGCCCCTGTAGAAGCCCCTATTGGGCACCCGCTTCCCAAGAGCCTCCACCCATTTTCAAACACCTTTGGGAATTCCTTCCGTCTGCCTGTCCCTTCTCCCTTCCTAAGGCTGGCATGGTATGGGCAGTAGTGGCCTTGTGGCAGTTGCCCAAAGGGCCACAATAAATGTAACAATGTGTACCCCTTTAAATCCTTGAGTATGCTTCTAATAAAGAAGTTATGGTAGCCTGTGCTTTATGAAACTGGCTATTTTGCAAGTTGCCACCTCCCAATTCGGGCAGAAATACAGCTAATATGGGAATCACAAAGATACAGCAGAAAGCTAGAACATGAGTCGCCACATGATGCAAATGGCTGCATGTAACACAGGTTCCCAACACGCACACCAACACAATGTCACAGAACGCGGTAGGGATCAGAACTTATTCAGCAGAAATTGCCAGTGCTTGTTGCGCATGTGTATTATAATAAAATGAGGCAATGATGAATATCAGGAACGTGAAAATCCAAAGGGACGTTTTAAGGAGGCGGGGGAAGCAAGAAAAAATTAGATTCTTTTGGCAACAATAAACATTAAAACAAGGAACTGCTGGTTAAAATATGTAAGAGGTTTTTTAAATCACACCATTAGGAAATCATTATACGAAGTTTGGAATAGATACAAAACACTGGTTGAATGTAAAACCCTGTGGTGGCTTTCTCCATTGGAAGCCTTTGCAGTAAAAAAGAAAGACATGGGAAGTGAACGGGCAACATACAAAGACCTGTTAATGGAAGTGGATAACAAATTAAAGGTAAAGCCATTTGAAGAACTGAGAGAAAAATTAACTGATTGATTGCAGAATCACCAATTGCAGGATGTATTCAGAGAAGATAGCAAGAGAACTGGGTTTGGTAGCATCAAATAAAAACTAGAGACTGAATTGTTGAGTAGTAAAAGGAAAACACTGTCGGAAATGTACAAGCTATTATTGGAGTGGCACACAAAGGATGACGAGGTAAAAAGTGTTATGATCAAATGGGCCCAGGATTTGGGACATAATATTGATTTTGAAGAATGGAAAATATTATGGACCAAAACCATTAAATTCACAGCATGTATGTCACTCAAAGAAAATCAAATGAAGATGATGTATCGATGGTACATGAGACCGGCCAACCTTGCAAAAATGTATAGAAATCAGGATAAAAACTGTTGGAAATGTAAGGAAAAGGAGGGGAATTTCCTCCATATGTGGTGGACGTGTACTAGGGTGAAAACTTATTGGGGTACAATTTACAATGAATTAAAAAAGATCTTTAAATACAATTTCAGTAAAAAACCAGTTATTTTTGTTAGGTCTAATTGGAGATGAAATTTTTTAGAAAGATGTGAATCTATTTATGTGTGCCACAACGGCCGCAAGGATTCTTCTGGTTCAGAAATGGAAATTACAGGAGATTCCAACATTGGAAGAATGGCGGAGTAAGATGGTGGAATACGTAGAGTTAGCAAAGCTGACGGGGAAGATCCGGAATCAGCGCGACGAACTGTTTCAAAAAGACTGGAGCAAATTTATATTATATATGAAAGAATATTGTAAACATCTGAAAAGGTTTGTAGCTTTAGGTTGAAATGTTTCGTAATGACAATATAAGGAACTGATTTGCATTTAATAAGAGGAAATATAAAAATAAGAGAGAAGGTAAAAAAGTGGCTATAGAAATGCTAAGTATAAGGTAAATATGTACGAAAGTCAGAATGAGGGGCGAGAGGAGGTCGATGCTCGGATAGAGCGATGTTTCAGCTTCTTGATTTATGTATGGATATTGTGATTACAAAAAAACTGAAAATGTAATAAAAATTATTTAAAAAACAACAAGGAACTGCTGAGCAAAAAGAGAACAGGAGCATGCGCAGAAGTGGTTGCAGAGAGGGGAGGGGCCTTCAAGGGTCCAATAACTGACCCAAAACAACACAGAAGACTACCTGTCGATTGTGGTCGACCACTTGGACATCTCTGATGTACTGTACTGTATACGATTGGTGGAAATTCAAATGCTTTGTTTGGCATTACATATATAAATATCACTGCCTGGAACACCAGGCAGGGTTGCAGTTTTGTGGAACGATCAAACTGTAACCTATTGCTTTGCAATAAACAATGTTAGACTCCTAACTCCTCCTGTTTCTGAGTTTTATTGGTGTAAACTGAAGAGATAAGTGATTTTCTGGCTTACAACAGCCTGAGAGTAGATTCCATGGAACATACAGGAGCTTTTGCCATTAGTAAACAACCTAGATGGCAAGTTCTCAAGAGAAGCACTTTGGAGCACTGCTTGCTTGCTCATGTATGTGTATTTGCACCTCGAGGACAACATGCATATTTACACCACGTGATTTCTTCAAGAGGGCATTTCTTTAAAATCGAAGGCCATTTCTACAAAAGACTTCAATGTTTGGTTGCTTTGGGTGTTTTTTATTTTGTTGGAAGCCGCTCAGAGTGGCTGGGGAAACCCAGACAATGGGCAGGGTATTATTATTATTATTATCATTATTTTATTGCGAGCCTTGCTAGCAATACTCAAATCTCACCCCTTTCCCGCCTCCTTCCCTGCAACTCCCTTTGCATCACATCCGGGCAGGGGGAAGCTTCTCTCTTTCCACAGTGGAAACCCCTCCCCCCCCTCCTTCAAGGCCCCATTAAGAGAAACAGCTCCCTTTCCTCCCTTCTCTTCTTCTCCCCGTCCCGGGGCTTCTCATCCTGGACCCCCACCCCTTGCCAAGCCCCTTCCCTCCTTCCCCGCCGCTGGCTTTGCACTAACCCGAAATCCTGGCGATGGTGGCAGCGACCCTGGGCAGCGGGGGCGGGAATGGGAGCTCCCGCCTCGGAGGCAGGATATTTCCGGGGGCGGGATAATTGCAGTACCCAGCCAATGGGGAGAGGAGGGAGGGAACCTGGGCTTCGAGTATAGGGAACAGATGCTCGTTGCCTTAAGGGTTAAAGCCAGAGAGTGAAGCTGCTAGAGGGGAGTGTGCTGCTGCTCGATACTGACTTGGGAAGGGGGCGTGGCTTAAGCAGAGCAGCTGACCCGCCCCCTCTGCCGTCATGCACTGTCCTTGTCCTGCAAGGAATCCGGTGAGTGCAAAGCGCCTCGGGGTGCAGCAAGCTTTGGGGGGGGGGTTGTGCAATGCAATGCAATACCCATAATTGGGGTTGGGGGTGGAGAGAGAGCAGGCAGGGAAGTCGCAGGGGGGGCGGGCTGCAGCTCATTTGTCCTGCTTGCAAAGAAGAGACGTGGCCTCTCCCTGAAGGTACGCTCTTTCTCACTCACTCACTCACACACACACACACAGATCGCACAAAGAGCCCTGTAGTTTGATCAAGCCCATCTAGTCCCGCACCCAGTTAGAATCATAGAATTGTAGACAGGGAAGGGGACCCTGAGAGCCATCTAGTCCAACCCCCTGCAATGCAGGAATCTCAGCACTGGCTCCTCATGGTGGCCAAGCCTGCAAGGAGGATGGGAGCCCAAGAGCATCTCTCCCTGCCAGCGGTTCCCAGGAACTGCTATTCAATTACGCATAATAATAATATGATAACAACCACATTATTTATACCCGCTCATCTGGCTGGGTTTCCCCAGCCACCAGGGCAGCTCCCAACAGGATAATTTTTAAAAACCAATGAAGCTTCAAACATTAAAAGCTTCTCCATTCAGGGCTGCCTTCAGATGTCTTATAAAAGTCAGATAGATGCTTATTTCACTGACATCTGTTGGGAGAGCGTTCCACAGAGCAGGTGCCACTACCAAGAAGGCCCTCTGCCTGGTTCCCTGTCATTGAGCTGATATAGAGCATCTGTCCTAAATTTGTCAGCTTCTGTCAAAGAAGCAGAATCGGGAAGTTTTTAATGTCTGATGTCTTGTTATGTTTTTATATTTTGCTGGAAGTCGTCCAAATTGCCTAGATGATGATGATGATGATGATGATGATAATAATTGTTCAATATGAAAATTTATTTGTACCAGTGCATTTGGAAGCATCAGAATAACTTGAGGTAATATATTCATACAAAAGCTTTGCTCCCGATTCATTGCAATCCTATCGCCTGAATTTGATCCGAGTCCTGGGATAACTCAGTTGGTAGAGCATGAGATTCTCGGGGTTGTGGGTTCAAGCCCACCTTATCAAAAAGATTCCTGCATTGCAGAGGGTTCGGCTAGAAGACCCTCTTGGTCCCTTCCAACTCTATGATTCTGTGGTCTATGAACCTCACTTCTTCACCATTTCATCACTGTACAATGATGAAAAAGGTCGAACAGTGATTATAGAAGTTAAGATCAATAATGAAAAAGTGATAGTTATTGGAATTTATGCACCAAATGAAAGAAAATCTGAATTCTATCAATTCTTGGAAGAAAAAGTCATAGAATATTTAGGGGGGGGGAATTATATTATTAGGAGATTTTAATGGAGTAGTCAATCCAAACATGGACAGAACAATAAAGAAGAAAGAAAAGAGGCAGAACAAACTCCCAACTACATTTTTCCAATTAATAGAACTCCTGAATTTGTTTGACGCTTGGAGGTTTAAGAATCCAACAGAGAAAGAATTTACACATTATTCAGAGCCACATAAATCGGCAGGACGAATCAACGCGATCTGGACAACAAAGGATTTATTAAATAATATTACAAAAGCAGAAATCCATCCAAGGACAATTTCAGATCACAGCGCGGTCTGGGTTAACTTTAAAGGAAAAGAAGAAAAGGTTAAAAGGTGGCACCTTAATGAGAGTATGTTAAACGATGAAAAAACTGTACAGAAGGCCAAGCAAATCTTAGAAGAATATTTTAAGTTTAATTTAAATAAAGGAATAGATCTAGAGACGGTTTGGGACGCGGGTAAAGCCGTCATAAGAGGCTTCTTTATCCAACAAAACGCATTCCAATGGAAAATAAAGGAGGAGAAGAAAATGGAGATCTGGGAGGAAATTAGAAAAAAGGAAAGGATCCTTTTCCAAAAACCAGATGATGAACTAATTAAGCAAAATATAAAAATTTTACAGACGCAATTCTCCATGATAATAAACGAAGAGATAGAATGGAAGATAAAATGGTTGAGACATAGAAATTTTGAGTTTGCAAATCAACCTGGTAAACTTCTGGCCTGGCAATTAAAGAAGAAAAAGGAAGATAGAATTATCAATAAAATTAAAATTGAAGACAAATGGATTCAAGAATCGAAGGAAATTAGTAAAAACTTTTCTAGTTTTTTCGGAAAACTATACAAAGAAGGTCCAGAGACTCTAGAAAAAATAATTGATTATTTGGGCAAAAATAAACTACCAATAATACCTAAGGAAAAAGCTGAAATCTTGAACTCACCAATAACAGCTATGGAGGTGCAACAAGCTATACAGAGATCAAAATTAGGAAAGACACCGGGCCCAGATGGTCTCCCAGCTAATTACTATAAAAAGTTAGAACAAGCATTAGATCTATCCAATTACCGCCCGGTTTCGAATCTTCCATTCCTGGGTAAGGTGATTGAGAGAGCGGTTGCTGAACAGCTTGGTAGGTTTCTGGATGAAACATCGGCTCTGGATCCATTCCAGTCTGGCTTCCGCGCTGGTCATGGGACCGAGACGGCTCTGGTCGCCCTAACAGATGATCTCCGCAGGCAGCTGGATCGAGGCGGGTCGGGGCTGCTGATTCTTCTAGACCTGTCAGCAGCCTTCGACATGGTTGATCACGAACTCCTGGACCACCGCCTTGCCGACGTGGGGATCCAGGGCACAGTCCTTCAATGGCTGCGCTCGTTTCTCTCCGGTCGGGGACAGAGGGTGGCGCTTGGGGGGGAATTGTCATCCCGCCACTCCTTGGTGTGTGGAGTGCCTCAGGGTGCGATACTCTCCCCGATGCTTTTTAACATCTTTATGCGCCCCTCGCCCAGCTTGTCCGGAGTTTTGGGCTGGGTTGCCATCAGTATGCCGATGACACCCAACTCTATCTGTTGATGGATGGCCATCCTGACTCGGCCCCAGACACACTGACCAGATGTTTGGAAGCTGTGGCTGGATGGTTACGTGGAAGCCGGTTGAAGTTAAATCCTTCGAAGACAGAGGTCCTCTGGCTGGGACGGGACGATATGGGATTGGGGGCAACTCCCATCTCTTGCGGGGTGCAATTAGTGCCAGCACCGTCCGTTAAGAGTTTGGGTGTAATCTTCGATACCTCCCTCTCTATGGAGGCGCAGATTACAGCTATAACAAAGGCGGCATTTTTTCATCTCCGCCAAGCTAAGCAGTTGGCCCCTTATCTCTCTCGCCCTGACCTAGCCACTGTGATCCACGCGACGGTCACCTCCAGACTGGATTATTGTAACTCGCTCTACGTGGGGCTGCCCTTGAGACTGACCCAGAAACTCCAGCGGGTGCAGAATGCCGCGGCGAGACTCCTTATGGGGTCTTTGCTGCGAGATCACATTCATCCGGTATTATACCAGCTGCACTGGCTCCCGGTGGAGTACAGGATCAGGTTTAAGGTGCTGGTTTTAACCTTTAAAGCCCTATACGGCCTAGGACCCTCGTACCTACGGGACCGCCTCTCCTGGTATGCCCCACAGAGGAACCTACGGTCTGCAAATAAAAACACCCTGAAGGTCCCAGGCCTCAGAGAGGTTAGGCTGGCCTCAACTAGAGCCAGGGCTTTCTCGGCTGCGGCTCCAATCTGGTGGAACGCTCTGTCACAAGAGACTAGGGCCCTGCGGGACCTGACATCTTTCCGCAAGGCCTGCAAGACAGAGTTGTTCCACCAGGCCTTTGGTCAGGGCCCAGCCTGACTCCCTCCTCTGGCAACCTGCACAGAATTTTGCGTAACGGATGCCATTAAATTGATTTTAATTAATTTTTATAATGAAATGTTTTAGAATATTGGATTATTTGATTGTTTGATTATTTGTTTGTTGTTAGCCGCCCTGAGCCTGGCTTTGGCTGGGGAGGGCGGGATATAAATAAAATTTATTATTATTATTATTATTATTATTTCTTCCCATGAAAGACCTAATGAATAATATTCTGGCAAATGGAAAGCTACCGAAAACCTGGAAGGACAGCTTTATTACTCTTATCCACAAACAGGGAACAGATGCCTCAAACATGGCCAATTACAGACCCATTGCACTGCTAAATAACGATTACAAGATATTTGCAGACATTCTTGCAAATAGATTAAAAATGGTGCTGAAAGAGATAATTCATAAAGATCAAACTGGATTTCTTCCTGGACGATTTATGCAATCCAATATTAGATGTGTGATTAATGTATTAGAATATTTGGATATTAAAATTGATAAACCAGCAGCTATTATGTTGGTGGACGCTGAAAAAGCTTTTGACAACGTGTCCTGGAAGTTTATGAAAAAATTAATGGAAGAAATCGGACTGGGAGAAAATATTTGTAAAGGAATAAATGCCATCTATTCGGAACAATATGCAAAATGGAAGAATTACTGTGGAGTGCAAAATAAACAAGGGAACAGGACAGGGCAGCCCACTGTCACCACTGATATTTATCTTGGTGATGGAAGTCTTGAACAATCAGATAAGAAAGGATCAGCTTGTTAAAGGCATCACTCTGGGAAACAAAACATATAAAATTAAAGCTTTTGCGGACGATTTACTTGTTATGACTGAAAACCCTAAAGAAAGTCTGAAAAGAGTGCTGGAATTGATTAAAGAATTTGGAGAAGTGGCAGGCTTTAAGCTGAATATAACAAAAACAAAAATGCTTGTTAAAAATGTAACCACAGAAGAAAAGGACGACTTAGAAAAAATATTGGGCCTGAAAATCTCCTCAAAAGCGAAATACTTGGGTATTTGGATCACCCCCAAGAACATAAACCTATTTCAGGATAATTACACCAAAACTTGGTTAGAGATTAGAAAAAAATTTGTAACCTGGAGTAAACTAAAATTAACATTTCTGGGTAGGATTTCCATTATAAAGATGAATGTGCTTCCAAAATTAATCTTTTTATTTCAAATGATTCCAATACTGGGTGAAGCAGGTTGTCTCAAGATATGGCAAAGAGAAATTTCCAAATTCCTGTGGGAAGGGAAAAAACCTAGGATTAAACACCTGACCTTAATAGACATAAAAGAGAGAGGAGGCTTTTCCCTACCCGACTTAAAACTTTACTATGAGGCAGCCTGTTTCACCTGGCTAAAAGATTGGTGCACGTTGCAGGATCCGGACCTCCTGGACCTAGAAGGTTTTGACAACCGCTGGGGATGGCACGCCTACCTGATATATGGAAAGGCGAAAATTCATAAAAATTTTACCAACCATATAATAAGAAAATCACTCTTTGCTGTATGGGAAAAATATAAAGACCTGATGGAGCCTAAAGTCCCGTGGTGGACTTCTCCAATAGAAGCCGTAACAGTAAAACGGAAAAATACTCAGGAAAGCTGGCCAACATATAAAACACTTCTAAAAAATGAAGATAACCAAATAAAATTTAAAAACTTTGAGGAAATGAGAGAACACATCTCAGACTGGTTCCAATACCATCAGTTATTTGAAAAATTTAAATCTGACAAACAAAAGGGGTTCTCAACAGAAATTTCCCAATTCGAATCTGATCTTATAAATTCTAAAAGAAAAACTCTTTCCAAAATGTATCCAAAAATGTATTCCAAAATGAGGAGGTAACATTGGCAATGGTGAGGTGGTCCCAGGATTTTGGCCATTCAATAACCATGGCCCAGTAGGAAAATTTATGGAAGATCAATTGGAAATTCACAAATTGTTACACGATTAGAGAGAACTTTCAAAAAATGCAACATCGATGGTATCTAACACCATGGAAACTTTCAAAAATGTATAAAAATGTGTCAAGTAATTGTTGGAGATGCGGTGAATCAGGAACATTCTACCATATGTGGTGGATATGTAGGAAAATACAGGTATTCTGGGAGAGGATCCACACAGAACTGCAAAAAATGCTAAAGATCTCTTTCAACAAAAAACCAGAGGCCTACCTCCTGGGAATAACAGATTTGGATATTCCACAAACGAGGAAGGGTATTGTAATGGTTCTAGGGGTTGCTCGTGCGTAAGCCGGTGCCAACACCTGGCTGGGGTGCCTGAGTGAACCTTTTCTGTCCGGACAGCCACTCACCCGTGGCTGTCTCAATCGCTGGCAGAATCCGTCAGTGGGCGTTTCTTAAACTTCTTCCAGCAAAGAAGCTCTTTGACACCTAGTCTCCTCCTACTCTCCCTGCGCGGAAGCCTTCTGCGCAAGGAGGGCGTAGGCAGCGGAGGACCCTTACTCTCCCCACTGGTCCCCGGCAAGGAGTCATGGGACCGCCTCGCCGATTCCCCCATCTGCCCCCCTTCTCCACTGGTGCTACGCTGATTCTCTTCCCCAGAAGTTGGGCTGCCTCTCCCAATCCCGGGACGCTCTCTGGAATCCCTCTGGAGCTTGCTCTCTCCCTCCGGCACTGATGGCAGTTCCCTGACATCCACCTCCTCCTCAGGACCCCACCCCCACCCCTGGCGCGATACAACTTCCTCTCTCTCCTCGGCCGACGATGCAGGGAATCCCCTGAAGGAGCTGTCATCATCTTCTGAGGATTCAAAACCAGCCTCCCATCCGCTCGGATCTCTTCCCGCTGGTCGAACCTCCCAGTCTGATTCTTCTCCCTTCGACACCTCCTCTCCCTCCTCTTCGGAGGCAGGAAAACCCACAAAGTCCCCTTCGTCGTCTGTGGGTCCAAATTCTCCCTCCCAGAATCTAGCTAATGGTTTGGGCTTATCCGGGAACAAACTGTGGAATTCTTCCACCAGATACCAGTCAGTGATTGATTCAGCAGGGACCCACGTGTTTTCCGACCTAGGTTCCCCCTCCCAGGCTACCAAGTACTCTACCTGGCGACCTCGCCACCTTGAATCAAGTATTTCCGTGGCTTCGTTACAGTATTCCCTCTCCTCTACCTGCGGGTGGGTGGTAACCCCTCCCTCCCGTCCCGGGAATTCCCACCCCTCCCTGTAAGGTGAAAGTAGGGACCTATGGAACACCGGGTGTATCTTCATGCTGTCAGGCAACTTGAGTTTAAATGCCACTGGGTTAACCTGCTGTATTACCTCAAAAGGCCCCAGCCGCCTCGGCTGCAACTTCTTAAACCCTCCCTTTAGGGGCAACCCTTGGGTTGACAACCACACCCACACCCACCCATATGGCCTCCCCCTCCCGACGGTGCCTGTCCGCCTGCCTCTTGTAAACTTCCTTGGCCCGCTCCAAGTTCAGCCTGAGTTGCTGGTGTAAGGCCTCCATTTCCTCCACAAATTGCTCAACCGCAGGTACACTCCATCCTTCCTCCCCCCGCCCCGGGAAGGCCCTGGGGTGACACCCGTAATTGGCCATGAAAGGGCTCATTCCCGTGGACACGTGTTCAGCGTTATTGTACGCAAATTCAGCCAAAGCTAATTTCTCTACCCAGTCGTTCTGTTTCTCGCTGACATAGCAGCGTAGGTATTGCTGGAGTATACCATTCGCTCTTTCGGCTTGTCCGTTGGTTTCTGGGTGCCTTGCCGTCAAGAAGCTCACCTCGACCTGTAGCAAGCTCATGAGTTTCCGCCAGAACCGGGAAGTAAATTGTTTCCCGCAATCCAAGATTACCCTCAATGGAGTCCCATGCAGTCTAAAAATGTGATCCACAAACAGCCTGGCTGTCTCCTCTGCCATTGCTGCATGTGAGCAAGCTACGAAATGGAACATTTTAGTCAGTAGATCGACTACTACCATGACCGCTGTCTTTCCCCTTGACTTGGGCAGATCTGTCATAAAATCAATGGACACCACCTCCCAGGGCTTTTCCGGTGTGGGTAAGGGTTCCAGTAACCTCGCGGGGGCAGCCCTTTCCCCCTTAGCCCTCTGGCATCGGTCGCACCCTCGTACATATTCTCGTATGTCTTCCCTCACTTTGGCCACCAGAACTGCCTGGTAGTAGTAGCATGGTCTTGTGCTGTCCAAAGTGCCCAGCTGTTGGGTTGTCATGGAGTTGTCTAAGTACCTTCCCCCTCAAAGTCTCCCCGGTACATACAACGCCCCCTTATAGTACAGTAGCCCTTCCTTTTCCTCAAACCCTCCATTGACTTCCTTTCCGTCCCTGAGTTCCCTGATTTTTGTCTGAGCAAACTCATCGTCTCTGGTGAGCCCTGCCAGTTCTCGTTTCCCAACCAACGCTCCCACACACACACACACCGGTCCTCGGGGAACACGTGCCTGGTCTCTGGTGGCCCCTCTCCTTCCATGTACTCCGGTTTCCAGGAGAGAGCATCTGCCCTTACGTTTTCCTCGGATCGGATCTCGAAGAAAAACTTGGCGAACTCCTGGGACCATCTGATCTGTCTCTGGTTGAGCACTTGCACGGTCCGCCAGTATTCCAAGTTCTTGTGGTCAGTTTGGACCTGGATCTTGTGCCACGCCCCTATCAACAGATGTCTCCATTGCCGAAATGCCGCATAGATGGCAAGCAGTTCTCGGTCATACACTGTGTAGTTTTGCTCTGACTTGCTCAGCTTCCTAGAGAAAAAGGCACACGGCCTCCAGTTCTGCTTGGCCCCAGGCTGCAAAAGGACCGCTCCAATGGCGCGGTCGGACGCGTCCGTCTCCAGTCTCATGGGCTTCTCCGGATCCACGTGCAGGAGCTGCTCTTCCGAGGCGAATGCCTTCTTCAGTTTTTCAAAGGATTGCTGCGCACCCTCTGTCCACGCGAACTTCTTTTTGCTACTAAGACAATCCGTTATGGGCGCTGTCAAGTGAGCGAAGTTCTTTATGAACTTCCTGTAGAAGTTGCTGAAGTCTAGGAACCTTTGCACATCCTTTCTGTTTTGGGGGGCTTTCCATTCCAGCACTGCCTTCACTTTGCCCGGATCCATGGCTAGTCCTTTGTCTGACAACCTGTACCCCAGGAACCCGACCCCCCTGGCGTGCAGTTGGCATTTTTCCAGCTTGACGCACAACTGATGCTTCTTCAATCTCTGTAGCACCTCCCTGATGTCTCTGACGTGCTGCTTTTCATTGTCCGAATAGATTAAGACGGCATCCAAAAAGGCTACACAATTCTTGTACAGCAGAGGCCCCAACACATGGTGCATGAAGGCTTGAAAGCAGGCAGACCCCGATTGTAATCCAAATGGCATGACTAAGTACTCAAAAGCCCTCAGGGGGGTGAACATGGTCATTTTCCATTCGTCCCCTTCCCTTATCCTAATCAGATTGTATGCTCCCCTGAGGTCCAGCTTGGTAAAAATCTTCCCCTGCCTCACACGTGTCAAAATATTGTCAATCCTGGGCATTGGGAAAGTCATGGGTTCTGATACCAGATTTAGGGCCCGGTAATCCACGACTAATCTGGGCTGATTAGTCTCTTTTTTGTCCAAAAGAACACTGGACTGCCCCCCACCACCTTTGATTCCCTTATGAAACCTCTCTTCAGGTTCTTGTCAATAAACTGCCGCAGCTCCTGCAGCTCCCGGTCGGACATGGCATACAGCTTACCCACTGGTAACAGAGCCCCTGGAAGCAGGTTGATTTGGCAGTCAAAGGGCCTGTGGGGGGGCAGTCTATCTGCCTCCCTCTCGCTGAAGATCTCCTTCAAATCAGCATATTGTGGTGGCACCTCCCCTTTTTGCTCCAGGGCCAACCCAGCCACCCTGGCCACAGTCATTCTTGGTTCCTTCCCTCCCAGACAGTGTTCTAAGCAGTAAGCTGACCCAAAGGTGACCGACCGCTGATGCCATGACACCACTGGGTCATGTGTTGCCAGCCACCTCATTCCCAGTATTATTGGGGGTCCTGCCAGCGTGGCCACATGAAAGGCAATGGTTTCCGTGTGCCTGGAGACCCTCATTCGCATTGGCGGTGTCTGGTGTGTCACTTCCCCTCCCAGGAGTTCCCTGCCATCGATGGTGGTCACCTGCAAGGGAAAATCTAGTGGCAACAGGTGGAGTTGGTGCTCGAGAGCAAAGTCTCTGCTGAAGAAATTACACGAGCTGCCAGAATCTAGCAGTCCCTCCACTTTGACGGGGTGCCCATTTGGGAGTTCTAGCACCACCTCTATGGCTATAGCTGCCTTGGGGGGGGTCAGGCTGGGGCACTTCTATGGGTTGCTGGCCTGGCTGCTGCCCCTGCTGGTTGGTAGCCAGGCGTTGTCGTTTCCCTGCACCGGCCCCTCCTCCACCTTCTTGTCGTGGCCTGCAGCCCCCATCATGCCTTGCCAGGCTTCTCATTGAGGGCAGACCTTTGCAAAATGTCCCGGTCGCTGACAAAGGAAACACTTCTTGGTAGTTTTCCACTCCTTCCCCTCCCTTTTCTGACCTTCACCAGCGTTTGAAACTTCGCGCGCATGCGCTCCATCAATTTCCATCGGCTCTGCCGCCTGGGAAGGCTCCCTCGGCATCTCCGGAATGCGGTTGTCATGGAAACGTTCGCCCTTATCTCCCACTTCTCCTGAGCCCGCGCTTCCTGGCGTAAACCAAACGCAAGCACAGTCTTTGTGAGTTCATCCATCGACCGCGGGCGGGGCGCTCGGGACAACTCGTCTTTCACTTCGGGGGACAAACCCGCTTCAAACAACATTTGCATTGGTTCACAGTCCAGATCCCACCCAAGCTTGTGGACTAACATCGCAAAACGCGACCAGTAGTTTCTGACGGACAGGCCCCTGGCTTGCACCCCATCAGCTCCCGCCGTGTCACGCTTTGCTCAACCTCGCCTAAGAACATCGCGTCCATTCCCTGAAAGAATTTCTTAAGGTCCTTCAAGGCATCATTCTGCGTCGCCATTAGGGGCCTGATCCATTCGCGCGCCCCATCCTGCAGATGTCCCACAATGTAAGCCACCCTCTCCCCGTCATCCGCAAAGTCATTTTTCTGCAATTCCAAAGCGTACTGAATTTCCGTTCGGAAGGCATTGTAGTCGTGGGGCTTTCCTCCAAACTTGTGTACCAGCCCCGGGACCTTCCTTCCTATCGGGGTGGCTCTGACCTGTGCATCCTGAGCCCGTCTCTCCTCCAGCCGCGCAGACAGGGTAGCTACATGCGCCTCCAGGTCTCGGTTCCTCTCGACCAGACCTCGCATCATGGCTTCTTGCTCTGTCTCTCCAGCCGGTCCCGTTTGGCTCATCGTGCTGCCTCTCCGGGGCTGCGCACAAGCAACGTCAGGGACTGACGGATTGCTGTAATGGTTCTAGGGGTTGCTCGTGCGTAAGCCGGTGCCAACACCTGGCTGGGGTGCCTGAGTGAACCTTTTCTGTCCGGACAGCCACTCACCCGTGGCTGTCTCAATCGCTGGCAGAATCCATCAGTGGGCGTTTCTTAAACTTCTTCCAGCAAAGAAGCTCTTTGACGCCTAGTCTCCTCCTACTCTCCCTGCGCGGAAGCCTTCTGCGCAAGGAGGGTGTAGGCAGCGGAGGACCCTTACTCTCCCTGCTGGTCCCCGGCAAGGAGTCATGGGACCGCCTCGCCGATTCCCCCATCTGCCCCCCTTCTCCACTGGTGCTACGCTGATTCTCTTCCCCAGAAGATGGGCTGTCTCTCCCAATCCCAGGACACTCTCTGGAATCCCTCTGGAGCTTGCTCTCTCCCTCCGGCACTGATGGCAATTCCCTGACAGGTATCTTTTTATATGCGACGGCGGCAGCAAGAGTTTTGATCGCAGCAAAATGGAAGAGTAATGAAATCCCCTCTATACAAGATTGGATCCAAAAGCTGACAGAATATGCCGAATTAGATGGTTTATCAGAAAAAATAAAGAACAAATCAAAACAGGAATTTGTTTCAAAATTGGAGGTTTTCAAAGATTATCTGAAAAATATAGTAGTTTAAATTCTGTTGCAGCATTCGAGGAACTTCAGTAATACCGTATTTTTCGCACCATAGGATGCACCGGACAATAGGACGCACTTTGTTTTAGAGGGGGGAGAACAAGAAAAAAAAAATTTCCCCCTCTCTGCCCAGCGCCCCTTCAGTGAAGCAGCAGGAGGCGCTGCAGAGAGAGGGGGAGAACTTTCCCCCTCTTGTTTTCCTGCTCTAAAACAAGGTGCCGTTTAAGGTGCGTTCAGGCGGCTACCTTGGAAGCCTGGAGAGCGAGAGGGGTCAGTGTGTTCCTTTCGACCTGCTCTTTGGGGCTGGCGGGGGGAAGCCCACCACCAGCCCCAAAGAGCAGGTCAGGGAGCAGCGGAAAGGCGCAGCGGAGAGGCTCCTGCCATAGCCGCACGTCACCTCTCCAGCCGGGAGAGGGTCGCAGGGGGCTGCTTTAGTCCCACGCGCGCTCTCCCGGCTGGAGAGGTGACGCGGGGCTGTAGAGGCTCCTGCCATAGCCGCGCGTCACCTCTCTAGCCGGGAGAGCGCGTGCGGGGCTAAAGAAGCCATAGCCCCGCGACCCTCTCCCGGCTGGAGGTGACGCGCAGCTATGGCAGGAGCCTCTATAGCCGCGCGTCACCTCTCCAGCCGGGAGAGAGTCGCGGGGCTATGGCATCTTCGCTCCATAGGACGCACACACATTTCCCCTTCATTTTTGAAGGGGAAAAAGTGCGTCCTATAGAGCGAAAAATACGGTAATTGCAAGGTAGATCTAAGAAATTAGATTTATTGAGAATAAGTTAAATTATGTTAAAAGTGTGTATTGGCAAAAACTAATAAGAATTTGAAATATGGAATAGACGGGAGGTTGGGTCTTTAGTGTCAAGACCAATAGATGTTTTATTGTTTGCTAAGAAAATTATGTGTCTATGGTTATTTTTTTGTAATTTGTGTCTAATTTGGTATTTGTGTTTTTTTCTTTTTTTCTTGTTGTATAAATAAAAAACTTTTTTTAAAAAAGACCCTCACTTCTTCACAATGAGGGCACCACCACAATTTTTTATTCAGCAATTTTTTGCATAATAGGAGTTTGCCTTTATTAAATTGGAGAGCGAAAGAAGAAGGAATCTCAGGGTGGGCTTTTTTTGTGGGGGACATGACTTTTCTGGTCAGAGGCAGAAGGAGCTTGGGTCTGTGGGATATGAAATTCATAGCAGTCAGGTACAACATTCCTAGAGTGGACATGCTAGGGGATGCTTTGTGCCACCCAGAAGAAAACTTCCTCTTTCCTCCGGAGCGGGGACAAGCGCTTCCTCTACATGTGACTTGAAATAAGGTAAAGGTAAAGGTACCCCTGCCCGTAGGGGCCAGTCGTGTCTAACTCTAGGGTTGCGTGCTTATCTCGCTCTAGAGGCCGTGAGCCGGCGCCGTCCGAAGACACTTCCGGGTCACGTGGCCAGCGTGATGAAGCTGCAGCTGGCGAGCCAGCACCAGTGCAGCACACGGAAACGCCGTTTACCTTCCCGCTATAAAGCGGTACCTATTTATCTACTTGCACTTAAGAGTGCTTTCGAACTGCTAGGTGGGCAGGAACTGGGACCGAACGACGGGAGCTCACCCCGCCGCGGGGATTCGAACTGCCAACTATACGATCGGCAAGTCCTAGGGACTGAGGTTTCACCCACAGCGCCACTGGGTGGAGGAGCACACCTCCATGTGCTTCATTCTTTCTTCTCCATTTTATTTTTTTCTATGTGTTAGGAGAAGTGACTGCTCAGTCGCAGTCATTTGGGACTAACTCCCTTATATTATAGCTTATAGATATAGATATACTTTTGTAACATAAGCCTGCCTTCAGGAATCTAATTGTGAACTGAATGAAAATGAATAAGCTACATGTATATTGATTTTAATAAGATTGTTGTGTCTGCACTTTTAAAGAGGGATAACAAGGGATCTTATCAGGAATCCTAAATAGTGAGGCTAAGACGAGCCTGCAACAAGCTTACCGCTGTGCAAATTTGAAAAGGAGAATGTTTGAACTATGCTAAGATATAGAACTTGTTAATGCAAGTTAGTAAGGATCTCATCAAATAATATATCCTCTCCTGCCGTTCTAAACATTCCCACAAGTCAGTCCCTAGCTAGAGATCTGGCATCCCCTTGTCTCAGACCAGATTTGGGTCTCTGCCTCCAAGGAGTTTAGACGCACACGGTTGAGACATGTTGACTGCAGCAGGCAATGGCTCCCTCACATGTGTGAACAGCCATTTGGAGGTAACTCTCAAACACCACAGAGATTGGGCATTGCTTTGACGAATATCCTGCAACAAACCACCTTCCTGAGCCCTCTGGTCTCTCCCACGGCCAGTAAAAGTAAAATACTTGTTTACCTGACGTTGACACAAAAGCTCACATACTACAGAAATGAATGAAATGTTTATTTCTTTCCCGCTTTCCTTCCCTCTCTCTTCCCACTTTTCTGCCCCCCCAACTCCATATTGCCTAGAACAGTACTGTCTCACTCTGAATAGGACTGATTTGTTTGAAGGATTCTGTGACTTGAAAACAGAGACTCTGGGTGTACCCAAAAATTTAATAAAAACATTTTAAAAAACAACAGTCTCTCTCATCCATTAACATTCTGCAGTGCAGCTTCATTGGAAAGCCATGGAATGTGATCCTGCAAAGGGCCAGTCTAGGTATTAGGGCTGCCACTTTTTTTGCACCTAAGAGGCAGACAATATGCGGTAGGTAAATAAGATGTTTTGGGTTGTAGTTGAGGAAATTTCCTCTAAGCCCCCAAACACACTCCACAAAGCACATAGATAACATGTATGCAGCAGGTTTACTATCACATTATAACATGCCCTGTATGGAGCAGTTACAGAAATCTCAGTATGGTGCCTATCTGTTATTCTGAAATGTGAGCTGCAGTACAAAATACCAGTTTTTGTGCAGCCTGGGCCCATTCATATTTATTTAGGAATCCCATGCAGTATTTTAAGGAGCAGGATCAAGGGTTTCATGACCCCCTTCTTACAATGTATGAAGTAATTACAGCAAAAAAAGCCTAATGACTCTTCTAGGTAACTGAATGAATTATTTTAATAAAAATTTAAATGGAGAGCATATTTTACATTGTCATATTTAAACAAACATGGTTCCACTCCAACCTCACTTAGTCCCCATTTCCCCCTCTATAAAGAGTTCTTTATACAGAAATCTCTTGAACAGAAGTCTCTCTATTTACATGTATAGGGAGGGATCGCTCTCTGTCTGACTTATGGCACCCTGTGTCATAGGACACCCTTTTGCAGTGTCCTGTATTCTCCTCACAGACACACAGAAACAGGGAACAGAGACATGCAGCAGCAGCAACAGCAGCAGCCAGCCAGACTCACTACAGCTCCCAGAATGCTTTGGGGGAATCCATGACTGACTGAAGTGGTACTAGAGTGATTTAAATGTGGTGTGGATGTGGAGAAGGCAAGCAATCAGGGGTGACAGTGAACAAATGGAGCCCACAATGGCAGCCTCCAGTGCCGTTTTGTGTTCCTCACAGGGCAACACAGCACTCGTCCCCACTGCCTGCCTTCAGAGATCTGGGACCGTGGCCATGGACAGCTTGTGACACAGCGTTGTAGGGCAAGGCTGTTTCAAGGGAAGGTGGGAAAATGCATTTCTGCTATGGTCAAGGTTAGCTAACTGACTGGATTCTTGAATAATAGGTTTCATTTTGCTTTTCACTCACTTCTGTGAGGCTCATGTCGCGTGTCATTACCATAGGAAACAATTTTGGGAGCCCAGTTAGGCAAACAAAACTCATTCTAGCTTGCTCCTTTTGTATCCCAATCCAGAGCACTGTATTCAGATTATTATTTCATTGCCACCCTTCACTATAAGGCCCCACCCTCGGCAGTTAAAAGCGATATGATAATGCTATTAAAATCAGTTAAAATGATTTACATTCTTTATACAGAAAGAATGCAAGCAGGATGAAAAGAGTATCCTGGCAACACACTTCCCCCTGCCCAAAATCCAACATGAGGCAGAGTCCTGCGCGCCTATATAGCAGGGCTCAGCAAAAAGCAACCATGGGCCTTGATTTATTTAAGAAACATTATACTTTTCTGCTGCCATATCCTTCCTTTCTTCCATCATGAAACTCAAGGTGCTATACGTGTGGCCTCCTCCCAAGACCCAGGACTGCTTAGCCTAGGCAACAATATATCCTACAAGCCGGTCATTCAATCTTGGGTCCCTAGATGTTGTTGGACTATAACTCCCGTCATCCCCGGTGCTCTTAGCCATCAAGGATCCAACTCTGATGATCTCGGTCTTAGTCCGGAGCCTGCAAGTAAGTGTGGGAACCTCTGGCCCTCCAGATGTTGCTGAATTACAACCCACATCAGCCTCAGCAATCGTCATATATGGCTGTGGATGGTGGGAGGTGGATGCTGGCATTGAGAAGAAGTTGAAGGCAAGTTAGTCTCTCTATCTCCAGTGATAAGCACCAGAGCAGCCTGTCCAGTAAAGACATGGAAGAAAATTCTGAGGCACTGAGTGCTTCTGGTCCAAAACATTACTCTTTTCCAGCACACTCCATTGCTATCCATCCCTCTCCAGTTTTCCATTCCTGCTGACCACCAGTGCCCCACCCCCACAGCCTGTTTTCTGTATCCACTGACCATGTCCAGTTCTCCTTGCGTGGCTTTGGCTATCTTTTCCCCCCACCTAAAAATTTATTGGACATACGTAACCAATGGAGCTGCCTCAAGGCTACTGGTACCTCCCTCTCTTCCTTAGAGGAAGGGTTCCATTTTGGCCACATAAAGGTTAGCAGCTAGGAAATTGAATTGGCTATTTGTATACGGGATTTCCTCAGACAGGGTGGGGGTCACAAAGAGAGGGTGGCTCTCGCCTTCATGTCCTGATTTTGAGTTTTGCAGAAATGCCTGGATGGCCGGTGTCGGAGCCAGAGAACTGATGGATGTCAGGCTGACCCTGCATTCTTATCCCGTGCCCCAGGCTCTCCCCACAGTGATGGGAGGTGGGCCAGGAAATAAACATTTTTATACACATGAAAAGCAAATCATGCATTGATAACACTATTTTTTTGTAAAGTTAAAAAAGGTCTTAAAAAAAAAAAGTTTATGTTTTCCTCTGTTCTGAAATTTGATTTTAAAGTAAAGTGTGTCAATATATTTGGGTTTGTTTATAAAAAAGAAGTGATGAGCTGCTCCCTAAAAATGAGCTCTGTATCAACAAAAGTTTTACCTATAATTATTCATAATGAAAAGTTGTAAGAAACGTGAGATTTTGCACTCTTGAGCTTTTGAACTACAACTCCCATCAACCTTGGCCATATGGGCTGAGGCTTATGGGAGTTGTTACCCAACATCTCAGCAACCCCATGTTGGATATCCCTGCTCTATACTTTTTTTATTTAATTTCTATACCACTTTATATTTTTAAGAAAAACCTCAAAGCGATTTACAGCATATTAAATCAATAAAACATAAATGAAACAATGTGAAAAATGTGAAATATAGAGTATACGGTCAAAGCAACGTAACAGAAAACTAAACTATTATCTTAAAGATTTCAAAACAACACATTACAAAGGAGGTCAACTACAGAATACATATTTCACATAGTAGGGCTGGGTGAGTCTGGGCCCCGCCCCCAAGGCCAGGTGGGAAAGGCCTTGCAGGAAGTGGTATATAGATGGCATCTTACCCCAAAAAAGCTTGCTAAAATGTATAAAGGGAAAACATCAACCTGACATTAAAAAGAGGAGGGGTCATATTATCATATGTGGTGGACCTGTGTAGCCATTGGCAAATACTGGAATGATATTTAGAACGAGTTTAAGAAACTATTTAAAATTCCTTTTTTTACAAAAACAAAATGCCAAAGATTTTCCTACTTGGTATATTACCATCAGAAATTTAAAAAGTTATAAGATCATTGTTTATGTATAGTATAACAGCAGCTAGAACCCTTATAGCAAGGAGCTGGAAAAATGAAACACTCTCAGAGATTACAGATTGGCAGATACTCATGTTACAATATCTACAATTAGCAAAACTGACGAGATCAGTTAGAGGAATAGTGAAACAAAAAACAACTAGAGAATGGATAATATTTACAAATTATGTAAAACTTTCTTGTACAAACAACTCCATATGAGCAGAAATCGAGTGATATTTGTAAAGAAAAAGATCAAAGGAATGTATACAAAGCAGAAAGAAATGATATTATATAATGTAAGCCTGTGTAAAAAAGAATGTTATATCAAACAATATAATGAGAAGGATGGGAAGGATTGTGTCGTTGAGTACTTTTACTATGTAAATAACTTTGTCTTTTTTTCTTACTATTCTTTCTTGGTTTCTTATCTTTGTTACTTCTTTATTTTTTATTTCTTTATGAATTTTCTATTTTATATTATTTTCTTTTTTTCTACCTGTTAAGATATTGTACATAATGTTTGTATCGACATGCAATTTTTTTAATCAATAAAGAATATTTTTTTTTAAAAAAAGGTTGCAATTAACTTAATCTTCATTAGATCTGCTTTTAGCACAAGCAAGTGCCACTTCCACTGCCCATCTTCCGAATCAGAGTAGCAAGCACTTGTATCTTGTAGGCGCGCTTGGCTCTTCCTTTTTGACGTTGCTAAGACTCTCCCCCCCTAACGAAACAACAGCCTCCTTTTAAGCACCCCGACCGTCCCTCCACCATTGCTCTCACGGCACATGTGAGATACACGTGCTTCGCTCTAAGGCCTCCTGAATCATCTTGCACTCCAAGACAAAGGGATGCACTCAAGTTAAAAGCACGCTCGCTAATTACAGGCGTGCACTCAGGAGAAACAAGAACTAGCCTTGCAAGGAAAAAGGAGCGTCCCCTCTACAGTGGTACCTCGGGTTAAGTACTTAATTCATTCCGGAGGTCCGTTCTTAAACTGAAACTGTTCTTAACCTGAAGCACCATTTTAGCTAATGGGGCCTCCCACGGCTGCTGCACTGCCTGTTCTCATCCTGTTCTCATCCTGAAGCAAAGTTCTTAACCCGAGGTACTATTTCTGGGTTAGTGGAGTCTGTAACCTGAAGCGTATGTAACCCGAGGTACCACTGTACTTTGCTTTCCTTTTCCGCTCACACCCACCCAAGGGCCAGGCCCATGCTTGCTCCCCTAAACCAAAACGTAACCAGGGACCCAGCTGAGGAGAACTGCACTGAGGCGCATTCGTGGGAGCCTCCCTCTGAATCTTCCCAGGAGCAGGACGACTGTATAGATTTGGACCAGTGGTTTGCAGAGGAACATAGTTCAGAAGGAAGAAGCTGGGAAATACTGGATGGGGAACAGCTTGCAGAAGAAACACTGGGAGAGAGAGAGTTAACAGATTCACGGTCTCTGGAAAGCATCCATCCGCTTTCCCCAAGTTAAAGGAGAGCTGCAAAAGTGGCAGGACAGAAAGCACAGAGGGAACGAGCTCAGATTATGAGACGCAGAAGTGACGGGGGTGACTAGGGATGTGAGGGGGTAGACCTCTTCATTGGGAGCACCGCCATTCCTAGAAGACGGGTTCTTTGTTCTCTTGCTGGAATCATTAAAGTTTCTAACTGGTAAGAAGACTCCTTTTCCTTTGTTCTGCTTATCTACGGCCAAGGGGGAATGCCAATTCCCTGAAGCCTGACAGATGCTGATCCACAAGACAAGGGCAGCCCATCATTTTGGCAGTGAAGGGCAAAGGTCAAAACTCAACAGAATCATCAAACACCTTGAGCATTCCAGATTGACACTCTCCCTGTTTATCTAGCAACAACTTCCAACTTCTTTTGTACCTTTAGTACATGTGACCTTCATTACTTTAATACATATATATGTGTATACAAATTTAAATACCAACACCAGAACATCACACAGGTTCCATGCATTTAAAATTGATTTCCGCCTTCATGAGTTTCTTGATGTGAAGTAAAGAGTGATTTCAGCCCCCACCAGTTGCCACGCTCGCAGGAAACAGCAAGAGCTGTTTACATCAGGTGATGTCTCACAACGTGGGAAGGGAAGTCTGAGACGATTCTCAGGCTGTTCTCAGTGTAACCTGGGAGGGGTTTCTCTTCCTTCTTTCCGCTCTTGGATTAGAGCAGGGTTGAGTCATGAAACTCAGAGCTGACTGCTCAAGTCATGCAGTCCTTTGTGTTGTTGTTTTATGCAGTTTAATAAAGTAGTTTGGATCTACAAAACTGCCTTTTCCCTTCTGATGCTTTTGTCAAGGGAAAGTTGGTATGCATTTCTCGTAACAGTCATGCTACCATTTTGTCTGTCTTTGGACTGGAGGAGGATTCCTGAACGGCAGCCAGGGACGGCCACCGGACTTCGCCCTGGAATGCTTTGGGAGGCTGGCATTGCTCCCGGCTGGGCGTCGTTCCAACAGAATACATTTATACGGCTTTTCACCTGGGCAAATTCGCTTATGAATATTAAGGTCGCCACTCCGTCTGAAGCTCTTTCCACATTCCCAACATCTGTGGTTTCCCCCCTGTGTGAGTTAGTTGATGTTTCCTAAAGCCTCCACTTTGACTGAAGCTCTTCCAACACTCCATACAATTAAATGGTTTCTCCCCGTGTGAGTTCGTTGATGTATTCTCAGTTTTCCACTTTGACTGAAGCTCTTTCCACATTCAATACATTTAAACGGTTTCTCCCCCGTGTGAGTTTTTTGGTGTCTTCTAAGTGCTCCATTTTCACTGAAGACCTTTCCACATTCAATACATTCAAATGGTTTCTCCCCTGTGTGAGTTCGTTGATGTCTTCTGAGGTGTCCATTTTCACTGAAAACCTTTCCACATTCAATACATTTAAATGGTTTCTCCCCTGTGTGAGTTCGTTGATGTATTCTAAGGACTCCATTTCGACAGAAGCTCTTTCCACATTCAATGCATTTAAATGGTTTCTCCCCAGTGTGAGTTCGTTGATGTATTCTAAATTCTCCACTACTAGTGAAGCTCTTTCCACATTCAATACATTTAAATGGTTTCTCCCCCGTGTGAGTTCGTTGGTGTATTCTAAGTGTTCCATTTTCACTGAAGTTCTTTCCACATTCAATACATTTAAATGGTTTCTCCCCAGTGTGAGTTCGTTGATGTATTCTAAGGGCTCCACTAGAACTCAAGCTCTTTCCACATTCAATACATTTAAATGATTTCTCCCTCGTGTGAGTTTGTTGATGTATTGTAAGGTCTTCACTATGACTGAAGCTCTTTCCACATTCAATGCATTTATATGGTTTCTCCCCGGTGTGAGATCGTTGATGTATTCTAAGGTTTCCACTTTGACTGAAGCTCTTTCCACATTCAATACATTTAAATGGTTTCTCCCCAGTGTGAGTTCGTTGATGTATTCTAAATTCTCCATTACGAGTGAAGCTCTTTCCACATTCAATGCATTTATATGGTTTCTCCCCGGTGTGAGTTCGTTGATGTATTCTAAGGTTTCCACTTTGACTGAAGCTCTTTCCACATTCAATACATTTAAATGGATTCTGCCCCGTGTGAGTTCGTTGATGTATTCTAAGTTTTCCACTTTGACTGAAGCTCTTTCCACATTCAATACATTTAAATGGTTTCTCCCCTGTGTGAGTTCGTTGATGTATTCTAAGGGCTCCACTAGAACTCAAGCTCTTTCCACATTCAATACATTTAAATGATTTCTCCCTCGTGTGAGTTTGTTGATGTATTCTAAGGTCTTCACTATGACTGAAGCTCTTTCCACATTCAATGCATTTATATGGTTTCTCCCCGGTGTGAGCTCGTTGATGTATTCTAAGGTTTCCACTTTGACTGAAGCTCTTTCCACATTCAATGCATTTATATGGTTTCTCCCTGGTGTGAGTTCGTTGATGTATTCTAAGGTTTCCACTTTGACTGAAGTTCTTTCCACATTCAATACATTTAAATGGTTTCTGCCCTGTGTGAGTTCGTTGATGTATTCTAAGTTTTCCACTTTGACTGAAGCTCTTTCCACATTCAATACATTTAAATGGTTTCTCCCCAGTGTGAGTTCGTTGATGTATTCTAAATTCTCCATTACGAGTGAAGCTCTTTCCACACTCCATGCATTTATATGGTTTCTCCCCGGTGTGAGTTTGTTGGTGTATCCTCATTCTTCCACAGTGACTCTTCCCAATGAATTCACAGATGGCTCTGTAGAATTTTGCACGCAATCTTCCTCACCTGTTTGGGAGTGGGGGGGGGAGAGAATCCTGTTAGACTTTTAAGAAAAACAAGAAAGGATCTGAACACACGTCAATCCCCATGTGTACCTTCTCTTATTTTCACTCCCTCTCCGTTTTCAACTGTCTCCATGTTCCAAATTTTTAGGAATGAAGATGAGATAATGGCAAGAGAAACCAATGATCACTCCATTCACACTTAAGAGAGCACCATCATTTTATAGTTCTACGGTGGAACTGGCTTATAAGACACATCTGTCTTTTTCTTTTTCAAGTGAGGAAAGGATCTCAGGCTCCAATAGCAGTCTCTCCTATGAGTAAGAAGTAAAACTGAAGTGTTCTTATGCCACATGTAAGTGTAAAAAAATTGCAACATATTAGAACATAAGATGATCCTGCTGCATCGGGCAAAGACCCACCTAGTCCAGCATCCTGTTCTCTCAGGGGCCAAGCAGAAGCCTGTGGGAAACCAGCAAACAAGATTTCAGGCCAAGAGCTCTCTGCCCTCCTGTGCTTTCCAGAAACTAGTATTAAGAAGCATTACTGCCTAGGACCGCAAGGGCAGAGCACAGAAATCAGCTTAATCCCTTTTTTCAAGATATCCAAGTTGCTGGCCATCACTGTCTCTTGTGGGATGGAAGTCCATAGATTAACTATGCTTCTGTTTATTCATCTTTTGCAGCCCATAAAGGCTCATAAATGTATTATGGCTTAAGTTTTTGTGAGCTGCAGTCTGACAATGTGGAATCTTGACTAGGAAAGCTGGTGCCACTATAAACCCGTGAGTCTTTTTGCTGGGTTTTTGTACTTATTTTGAACTTAAGTCTTAATCTGCAAAGGACTGCTTTGCATACATGGGTGGCCCTTGAATGGAGAAGAAGAAAGCACCTTGCCTACATCTGTATCCCCTGGGAGAGGCGGTGGATCCAGGGATTGTGAATGAACAAGACCTCTGCCTTCCATGCGGTGGGAGTGGGTGGGTTAAAAGTGGAGGAGAGACCTCCCCCTCCTGTCCTTTTGGGAAATAAGAGCTTTAGCCGTGAGTAAACAACTTAGATGGCAAGTTCTCAAGAGAAGCACTTTGGAGCACTGCTTGCTTATGCTATCTGTGTGTGCATGTGTGTCTTTGGACCTAGAAGACAACATACACTAATGGTCAAAATTGTGGAAACCTTGAAGAAAATGTTTTTCTGTGGTTTGGTGGCTCATAACACCCCCCTTTTTGGGTGTAATACCATAAAATTATATATCAATGGAAAGGTACAGTGGTACCTCGGGTTACAGACACTTCAGGTTACAGACTCCACTAACCCAGAAATAGTACCTCGGGTTAAGAACTTTGCTTCAGGATGAGAACAGAAATTGCGCAGCAGCAGCGTGGGAGGCCCCATTAGTTAAAATGGTGCTTCCGGTTAAGAACAGTTTCGGTTTAAGAACGGACCTCGGGAAAGAATTAAGTTCTTAACCCGAGGTACCACTGTAATTTAAAGTAGAATGTAATACAACAACTTTTAAGAATGATTACAACATAAATAAGCAGGACATTTGTCAGTGTGGTATGTGATTGCTATCAAGTTGGTTGGGGATTTATTTGTTCGTCCGAGTAAGACGAACTTTAGGGGGATTTCAGGCCACCGAGGGGAGGTTTAGGGGCTAAAAAAAAAAAAACCCTCACAAAACTCTGCAGAAGAGTGGGGCTGCAACGGGGTCCAGCTGAGCCCCAGGTCTCCCAACAAACCGGCTCCCGCAATTGCATCAGCAGTGAGTGGGGGAGGGGAAGATGGTCGAGGAGGGCTGTCGGCTCCAAAGCACACCTGAATATCCGAAGCCTAAAAGCCGCCCTCTGAAGTGACAGATCTTTTATTATAAGGTAGAATAAAAAGACCCCTTCATGGATCACTGCCTTGCCGTGGCGAAGGGGCTTGAATAACTCAGAGAAACTATGAATTATGCCGAGCAGGGCACCCAAGATGGACAGGTCATAGTGGAGAGTTTTGACCAAACGTGATCCACCTGGAGGAGGAACTGGCAAGCCACTCCAGTATCCCTGCCAAGAAAACTCCATGGACAAAGACAACAGGCATATAAAAGTTACGACGCTGGAAGATGACCCCCTCAGGTCAGAAGGCGTCCAACATGCTACTGAGGAAGAGCGGAGGACAAGTACAAGTAGATTCAGAGCTGATGAAGCGGCTGGGCCAAAGCTGAAAGGACGCTCAGTTGCAGATATGCCTGGAAGCAAAAGGAAAGTCCAATGCTGTAAAGAAAAATATTGCATAGGAACCTGGAATGTAAGAACCATGAACCTGGGTAAGTTGGATGTGGTCAAAAATGAGATGGCAAGAATAAATATTCACATCCTGGGCATCAGTGAACTAAAATGGACGGGACTGGGCGAATTCAGATCGGATGACACCATCATATCTACTACTGTGGGCAAGAATCCCGTAAAAGAAATGGAGTGGCCCTCATAGTCAACAAAAGAGTGGCAAAAGCTGTACTGGGATGCAATCTCAAAAATGATAGAATGATCTCAATACGAATCCAAGGCAGACCTTTTAACATCACAATAATCCAGGTTTATGCATCAACTACTCGTGCTGAAGAAACTGAAATTGACCAATTCTATGAAGACTTACAACACCTTATAGAAGTGACACCAAAGAAGGATGTTCTTCTCATTATAGGGGATTGGAATGCTAAAGTAGGGAATCAAGAGATAAAAGTAACAACTGGCAAGTTTGGCCTTGGAGATCAAACGAAGCAGGGCAAAGGCTAATCGGGTTCTGTCAAGAGAACAAGCTGGTCATCACAAACACACTTTTCCAACAACACAAGAGACGACTCTACACATGGACATCACCAGATGGGCAACATCGAAATCAGATTAATTATATGCTCTGCAGCCAAAGATGGAGAAGCTCTATACAGTCAGCAAAAACAAGACCTGGAGCTGACTGTGGCTCAGATCATCAGCTTCTTATAGCAAAATTCAAGCTTAAACTGAAGAAAGTAGGAAAAACATTATTGCATTACATTTTTCATTAAATTATATTTCCATTGATATATAATTTTATGGTATTACTAAAAAAAAAAAGTGGTGTTAGGAGCCATCAAACCTCAGAAATACACTTTTCCAAATGGTTTCCACAATTTTGACCACCAGTGTACATATTTACATCACACGATTACTTAAAGAGGGCATTTCTTTAAAATTGAAGGCCATTTCTACAAAATGGAAGACTTCTGAAGGCAGCCCTTTACAGGGAAGTATTCAGTGTTTTCGGTGTTTTTTATTTTGTTGGAAGCCGCCCAGAGTGGCTGAGGAACCCAGTCAGGTGGGCAGGGTGCAAGTAATGAATTATATTATTATTATTATTATTATTATTATTATTATTATTATTCCCTCCTTAGCCTGACCTGCTATGCATGCTGATCAGAGACTCTGTCCCAACCACCCCCTTGAACACAACAGGGCTTCCTATTTTTACTGCTATTCTTTACATTTCTATACTGCCCTTCCTCCGAAGATCACAGGGCAGCTTACAATAGAAAATCAGAGTTGAACAGCACAGTAAGAAATAAAAACGACAACCGCCCCCTTACACAACCACAAATGCAGGTGTGAAGGCCATAGATTGTTTAATGAGCCCAATGCCTGGGAGAAGAGGAATGCTTTCGCCGGGTGCCTAAAGAGAAGGCAGGAAGGCAGGCAGGCAGGAAGGAAGGAAGGTGGGACACTGAGGGTCACTTCTGAGGGTCTTCTGCCAGTTCCCTCCGGGCAAGAGGTGAGGTTACAGGGAACCAGGCAAAGGGCCTTCTCGGAGGTGGCGCCCTCCCTGTGGAATGCCTTCCCTTCCAATTACAAATAAATAAACAACTATCTGACTTTTAGAAGACATCTGGAGGCAGCCCTGTATTGGGAAGGTTTTAACATTTGATGTTTTATTATGGTTTATCTATGTTGTAAGCTGCACAGAGTGGCTGGGGAAACCCAGTCAGATTGGCAGGTATTATTATTATTATTATTATTATTATTATTAACCTGCCCAGCAATGCCCAACCCTCTCCCCTTTCCCACTTCCATCCATGTAACTCCCTTTGCACCAGATCTGGGCAGGAAGAAGCTTCTCTCTTTCCACAATGGAACACTCCCCCCCCCCAAGGCCCCATTAAGAGAAACCGCTCCCTTTCCTCCCTTCTCTTCTTCTCCCCGTCCCGGGGCTTCTCATCCTGGACCCCCACCCCTTGCCAAGCCCCTTCCCTCCTTCCCCGCCGCTGGCTTTGCACTCACCCGAAATCCTGGCGATGGTGGCAGCCGGGCAGGAATGGGAGCCCCCGCCTGGGAGGCAGGAAGTGACCCCACTTAATGAGGAGGCTTAATTAGGACGAAGCAGCCCCCCCTCCCCCTTTGCTTCCCTCCCTCCTTTTATCTCCGCTGGTGAAGCCGGAAGTCAGGTGACTCTGGCGAGGAAGGAGAAGTTTCTCCCCCCCCCCCAGCCTCCTTCCTTTCCTTTGATAACTGGGGGAAGGAAAACCTTGCAGGACCCAGCCAATGGGGAGACGAGGGAGGGAACCTGCGCTCCGAGTAGAGGGAACATCAGCTACTGTGGACCTTGTCCTCTTGCAAGAACGTATTGTAATCAATAAACTCTTTACTGCCTCACCCATTTGGTTCAGATTGTATTTCAAGGAGGGATCAAGGGTCTCATGACCCACTTCTTACAATGTAGGAAGCAGCTTACAGCAAAAAAAGCCTAATAACTCTTCTGGGTAAATGAATAAATTATTTTAATAAATATTTAAATAGAGAGCATATTTTACATTCTCATGTTCATGCAAACATGGTTCCACTCCAACCTCACTTAGTCCCCACTTCCACCTCAGCAAAGTGTTCTTCATACAGAAATCTCCTGAAAAGAAGTCTCTCTATTTACATTATAGGGAGGGACCACTCTCTGTCTGGCTTATTGCACCTTCATAACACCCTGTGTCTTTTGCAGACGCCCTGTCAAAGAATACCTCCCATTTGACCACTCCCATGAATTTGGGGGGGGGGGGACGGACCATGTACTTTAGATGCCTGCCAAATGTACGCTACGGATGTGGAAGCAATATTCTTCACAGGAAATACTGGAAAAAACGTGGAAGGCAGTTGTAATTTGTAAGGAGAGTGGGGAAGTTCTTTGCTTTGCTTTCAGTCGTAACAAATAAAGCGAAAAATTTAAAAAGCAACCCCTTTTTCAGTGCTTTCTTTTTAAAGCAAATATGGTGCCGGTAATCACCATGAAATTGTTACAGTAAGTGTCAGACTTTGAACAGTTTTGGGAAAAGAGGTTCTGGTACTGCGTAACCTTGAGTACCCCGGAAAAAAGACCCCTTTTTCTTTTTTGAAAAAAAGCACCATAATTGCATGGGGGGGATGGGGGGGAAGATGATCAACACTGCCAGTAGTACCTGTATGCAACCATATACACAAGAACTCTGTAGCAATGAATCCACTAGCAAATGGGAGGGCGGTGATGGGTGATAAACAAATCTAAGCAGCATCTCGAGTGCTGAGATCCCATCAAAGGGAAGGGAAATGTGCACATGCCCTACAGCTGTGAAAACATCTCTCTGAACGTCTTTATTTTTTTCTTACTATATCCATAGTTCCCTCAACCATTCCTTAACTCCAACTCCCATTAGCCCCCACTGGCGTGGCCACTGGCCGGCAATGACAGAAGTCATAGCCTAGCATAGTTCAGTGGGATGTGGGCAGGCCTTAGGTTTGCATGCTCTTGCGCAACTGTCAGTTTGGAAGCTTCCACTGTTTTTCAGACCAAGGGCCAGATTCTCTCCTGGATCAACTTCCAGGGGCCACATGCCAGGGCTGGGCAGGGTGAGAGAGGCAAAGGTGGGTCAAACAAGGATCGCAACTTTTGCCTTTCTACAGCAAGTTATATCTGTTACACAAACACACACACAACTATCTGCCCTCTACCAAGGAGGGAGGAGGCATTGTCAAGAGTTGAAAGGTACATCCCGGCTGGCTAAGGGGCGAAGCAGAGCCATGGATTCAGAGCAGTGAATTCAGAGGACCACAGACCACATGTGCATTTGGCCCCCCGGGTCTGAAGTTCTCCACCCTTGGCACATTAACATCATGTGCAAACCAGGTAAGTGTAAAGAGTGCCGTTTCAACCCAACCGTGGTGTATATTTTATACAGGAATCAGACATGCAGCCTCACACCTCTAGACCTGGCTTGGCACCAGAGATGAGGTTGGCAATTTAGAAAGCTGAGGCATCTCTGTCCTTCAAGGGCACTATACCACTTTAAACAGTCATGGCTTCCCCCAAAGAATTCTGGGAGCTGTAGTTCGTTAAGGTTGCTTGGAGCTGTTGGGTAGAGTTGCCATGTTTTGAAGAGCAAAAAAAGAGGGTGCTTATGATGACTCTCATTTTAATACCTCTACTATATGTAGGCTATCAAAGCTGTGATGTATTGTTGGGGGGGGGGGGCAGGAGAAGAGAAGAGGACAGCAAGTCTTTATCTCATCCAGAAAGTATAGAGATTTTGGCAAATTTATCCACTGGGATAGAAATTTTACCCCTCAAAAAAGAGGACACATAGCAACCCTTAAAACTCTTATTTCTCTCAAAGAGTTACAATTCCCCAAGTTCTCTGTGAGAAGGAATAGATAGTGAAGCCACTCTACGTATGATATCTCTGGGAGATCTGTCGCTCGCGGCGATCAAACCTGCAACCTTCGCACTATCGGCACCACACTCTAACTAACTGAGGTATCCAGAGAACACCAGCTTGCGGAAGGATTGTTTTAAGATGATGAGGGAGAGAAGGAGAGAGAGAACAATTTGTCTCTGGGATCAGTTTCTGGGCTACTATCTGAGATCCTCTGCCAGCCCCCTGCTGGATGCACTAGGCCTCACCTTGAGCAAACCTCTTTTCTTTGCAGATGCTGCTCATCTTCAATGGGAAGCTGCCCTGAGGGATCCCAAGATTCTGCAGCCACTAATGGTGGACGTGGGCTTAATTGTCCTCTTCATCCTGCAGCACAGCCTCATGGCCGCTCAGCAAGTCAAACACTGGACCAGAAGTTGTTACAGAGATCTTTCTATGTCTTCTGCACAGCACTGACTCTGCAGGTAGGCGTATCAATTTGGGGCAGCAAAATGGGGGGAGAGGACTGAAGGGGAGGAAGAAGTCCCACAGGCAAGATAACAGAGCAAATCAGAGTGATTTCTTGCCCAAGTCAGAAAAGCTAAGCTCAAAATGCAGAATCAATCTTCCTGGCATGATGCTGGCTGTTCAGATTTCATACTCTGCACTTTCATGGAAGCGATATTTCCAAAGCAAATCCCCCAATTTCAGCCTTAAGTCTTTGCTCCCTGGTACAGTTTATTTTGAGCTCAGAGCTCCCAAACTCACACATTAACTCAGAATAGCCTTAATTATGGTGCGAAGCAAAATGCATCATTGCAATGATGTGGAGTAGAATCTTGCACAATTTAAAAACAACAACAACCCAGTGTGGATATGATTTGTATGATTTGGCTAATGCGTGCAGGTCCAGCGGATTTTCTACAATGTGATCGCAGTTTTGGAGTCCCAAAATGCAGCCACATTAGACGTGTGCCTGCAGCAGAATCTACTTTTATCTAATGCGCCTTTTCCTTCCCACCTAGCTGCTGATGAGGTACTGGCAGCCTGTGCAGGATGCTCCTGTGCTCTGGAATATGAGCAGGGAGCCGTGGGTCACTTGGGTCCCTCTCATCTGCTTCATCCTCCACTTCATTGCTTGGCTGGTCATCTTTAGCATCCTCCTCATCTTTGACTACGCAGAGCTGATGGGGGTCAAACAGGTACCGCGCAGCTTCCCTTTTCCCATCTAGAGAGGCCACCGTCCTGTATTTGGCGGCTGAGCTCAGTGAGGCCCAATGACCCAACCAATGAGGGTGATATAAGATATTTCCTCCTGCTGTAAAATATTTCTAAAAAGAGATGTCCCAGGGTTGAAGCAAATTTGGAAGACATGACCTCTCTCTTGGAAGCTCTTAATGTGCTCTGACTTTACAGTGATAGCAGTTAGGGGGGTGCATTGGATTTGGATGAATTCTGAGGGATTTTTAATAATAATAATAATGGTATTTGATTTTAAAACTATAAGATCGTAACAATACACATAACATCCACATTTGGAGATTCCTCAGAATCTCTGGACTTCCCACCTTCCCCTCCATGGGTCCTATTATTAAACCTTTTCTACTTCAACTTTTTCAATAGTCCATATTTTATATAGGTCCATAGCACTTGCTACGAGTGTTATTGCAATCCTGCTAATGTTTTCATCTGTTTACAGTGGTCTCCAAGATAAATTATAAATTTCCCCCATCCTTTCTTAAAGTTATGGTCTTCTTGGTTCCTGAGCATAACGGTCAGTTTTGCCATTTCGGCATAGTCCAGCAGTTTAATTTGCCATTCCTCTCTGGTAGGGACATTTTCTTCTTTCCATCTCTGGAATTCTGAGGGATTTTTGGTCAAGGCAGAGACCGCAGAAGCACTTAAGTGTTGTCTCAGCAGTCCAGACAACAAAACAAAAGCAGATCTCACATTCCCCCTTTGTGAATATGTAGAGGCCCAATGTGTAAAAAGGTAAAGGTAAAGGGACCCCTGACCGTTAGGTCCAGTCGTGACCAACTCTGGGGTTGCGGCGCTCATCTCGCTTTATTGGCTGAGGGAGCCGGCGTACAACTTCCGGGTCATGTGGCCAGCATGACTAAGCCACTTCTGGCGAACCAGAGCAGCACACGTAAACGCCGTTTACCTTCCCGCCGGAGCGGTATCTATTGATCTACTTGCACTTTGTGCTTTCGAACTGCTAGGTTGGCAGGAGCAGGGACCGAGCATCGGGAGCTCACCCCGTCGCGGGGATTTGAACCGCCCACCTTCTGATCGGCAAGTCCTAGGGTCTAAAATGACGTCTTGTTTCCCCAAAAGATTTGTGCATCTGCGGTGCAAATGGGTGTTTCTCTCGTTCCGTAGGTTTACTATCACTGCCTGGGCATGGGGGACCCTTTGGCCGTGAAGTCCACAAGTGCCATCCGCCTCTTCTCCCACCTGCGTCACCCCGTGTACCTGGAGTTTCTCCTCATCCTGTGGGCTGTTCCCTGCCTTTCTCTTGACCGCCTGCTCCTCGCATTGCTCTTCACAGCCTACATCACCTGCGCCCACAACCTTGACCAGCAAGACTACCTCTACCTGCGAGCTCAGCTGGACAAGAAGTTCCAGATCTTCTCCCGTGAGGAGGCAGCCTATGGGGATCTGCTGGCTCAGAATGGCCCCTCCGTCCTTAAGAACTGAACCGGTGTGGCCCCAATTTTATATGCGGGTGCTGGTGTCCTAGTATATTGGGGCCTGAGAGCCTGGTACCTTGCACTCTCCCATGCTAAGCACTGAACGATGCAATGTGCCTTGTATATCCTTTTGCTTTTATGCACTCGGGACTTGAGTGGTCTATAAATGGGACCCAAGAGTTCTTTTTTTTTTTTATAGTTAATATTTATTGAATTTTCAAAAAATAACAACAAAAATTTCCAAAAAAAAATTTAAGGATACAAAAAACAAAATTAGTGCATAAACAAAAAAGAAAAGAAAACCCAGCCGCAAAGAAAAAAAAAAAGAGAAACAGAAAAACAAAAATATAAAGTCCTTTACAATCTCTATTGACTTCCTTTCTAGACTTCCTCCTCCTCCCCTCTTTTGTTTCTTAATTTTTAATTTTTACAGCAAATCCTTTCTGTTTTTTCATAACAATCTGTCATTACGTTTCCTTATTCTATTTTCCCTCTTGTCATATAAAAACTTTAAAACTCATAGCTTATATTCAATATTTACCAAATTCTTGCATCATTACCTTTTTACGAATCATTTACCAATCCTTACTTAAGTCATGTAATTTCATTCAACATCCTTCAAACATTTGTAAGCATTCCCAATATTAAAAAGTAAAAAAGAAAAAATAATAAGTCAAATTCAGTCCAGTCAGCTTCCAACCTCCTCCCCTGGACCCAGGATTGTCAGTCCTTTTAACCTCGGTAATCCGGCTCCTTAACCTGGTTGTCTCGTATCCGAGGCCCTCAAGTCTCTTTCTTGCCCCTTTCGCCACTCTTGTTGATGATTCCTTTCCAGTCGTGGATGCTCCAGCAAGAAAATGCTTTTGACCCTTTGCAACAAGTCCATCCCAAACCCATTGCCCAAGCCAGACAGCAAATAATACCACTTCAAATTTCCACAAAGCTTGGAGACTTCGGCTACTCCAATCCTCTGATAGCCCATCACCAGACTCGGAAGGTCCAAATAACCATATGGAGCGGGGTCGATCCATCCCCCCCATTTCCAAATCTGACCACATTTCATCTTTCCGAATCTGGTTTGTCCCAGGTTCATTTATCAAGTTCAAAGGCTGATCTTGCCCGTCCAAAGGTCCCTCCATCTCTGAAGCCTCCGTCACTACAGCAGGTTCATATGCTTGTATAGCCTTTAACTGAATTTCATTTGTTTGCTGCTGTGCTCTGGTAACTTCCATCATCAAGGTCGTCTCCTGACGCATCTGGTCCAGCTGGGCACTTAGTTTTGAAAAACCTTCCAGGAACAATTGTTCAAGCCTTTGTACTAGCATTGTCCTTCAAGGTCAAAGAAAATTCTTTCCCACGAGAATAGTCCAATAGTCCTTCTCTTTTAATCTCTCTGCGTTGCAATTTCACTAAATTCCACTAGATGGAATTTTTTTTTTTAATGGAATAAAAGCAACAGCAACAATCTTTCTTTTCCAGAAACACTTTATCCAAAATTCCCCCTTCCAAATTCAAGAGGCAACAGTAGAATCAAAATGTTACCCTTCTTTTAACTAACTGTCGAGCTGGATAAACTTCAGAACGTCAATTCTGACAGCCCGCTCCTGGTTCAGGGCGGTGGAAAATTGCTTTATTTTAAACTCACTTCCGCAGGATTGAAAAGTCCAAATACAACCCCCTTTTTCTCCTGCAGTCAATGGGGGGGTTCAGAAATCTTAGATGTTGAATTCTAGTTCTCTTAAAATTTAATTTTCAGGCTTTAGTATATTTTGTCTTTGCTTTCTTCACATAACAAAAGGACGGAAGGCGACTTCCTGTTTAGACCTTCCCATTCCGAGTCCCAATTAAGTTCAATTTCAAGTCCAATATTATTTGTTTATTCACCAGTCTTAAAAGTGGTTCCAGCTCTTC